TACACCCTCACCCCCCTTGATACCTGGCAGATACTATTTTGCCCTTATCTCTAATTTTGTTGAAGAGAGAATACAAGCAATAATAGGAAGAACAAGGGCTTTTGCTAGTTGAAATAAGGATAGCTATACAGGGAGTTGACTCACATTAATTTCCTGTGCATGTGTGTTACCTTCTAGGTTAATTCTTTTTGATCTAACCTTTTCTCTAGTTCCTGGTCCCCTTCTCCTATTGGCCTCAGTTGCTTTTCAGGTATCTGCTTTAGTTTCTCTGCTAGCTATAAATGCTAGCTAATTTTTGAGGGCAACAAATGCTAGCTAATTTTTTAGGTGTCTTACCTATCCTCATATCTCCCTTGTGTGCACTCGCTTTTATCTTGTGATCAAAGTTCAATCCCCTTGTTGTGTTTGCCCTTGATCTAATGTCCACATATGAGGGAGAACATACGATTTTTGGTCTTTTGGGCCAGGCTAACCTCACTCAGAATGATGTTCTCCAATTCCATCCATTTACCAGCGAATGATAACATTTCGTTCTTCTTCATGGCTGCATAAAATTCCACTGTGTATAGATACCACATTTTCTTGATCCATTCATCAGTAGTGGGGCATCTTGGCTGTTTCCATAACTTTGCTATTGTGAATAGTGCTGCAATAAATTTGGGTGTGCAGGTGCCTCTGGAGTAACCTGTGTCACAGTCTTTTGGGTATATCCCCAAGAGAGGTATTGCTGGATCAAATGGTAGATCAATGTTTAGCTTTTTAAGTAGCCTCCAGATTTTTTTCCAGAGTGGTTGTACTAGTTTACATTCCCACCAACAGTGTAAAAGGGTTCCTTTTTCCCCGCATCCTTGCCAACACCTGTTGTTGGTGGTGTTGCTAATGATGGCTATTCTAACAGGGGTGAGGTGGAATCTTAGTGTAGTTTTAATTTGCATTTCCTTTATTGCTAGAGATGGTGAGCATTTTTTCATGTCTCTTGAATAATTTTGGTTTGAAGTCTGCTTTGTTCTGCTTGCTTTTAGGCTGCGTTTGCTTGGAAAATTTTTTTCTATCCTTTCACTTTAAACTTGTTTTTGACTTTGCCAGTGAGAAGTGTGTTTCTTATAGGTAAAAAGTGGTTGGGTCTTGGGTTGCTTTCCGTTTTTTTTTTTATTAATTTTTTTTTTTTTTTGGTGACTTTGGGGTTTGACCTCAGGGCCTTTTGATTGCAAGGATGGTGCTCTCCCACTTGAGCCATGTCCCTTGGATCTTGTTTTTTGTACAGTCTGCAGTCTTTACCTTTTGATTGGGGAACTGAGACCATTAACATTCAGAGTTATGGAAGGTATGTAATAATTCTTGCCAGTTTTTTGTTTCTGTATTTTTTGATTCTTCCCTACTCATTTGCTCATTTACTTGTCTAGTGAGATTTATTCTTTATTTTTGAACTGTGTTTATCTTCCCCTTCTGTGTGTGTAAGATTCCTTAACTATCTTCTTTAGCACTGGCTTAGTGATTATGATTTGCTTTAGTTTTTGTTTATGGTGGAAGGGTTTTATTTCTTCTTTAATTATTAAATATAGTTTTGCTAGATATAGTTGTTAGTTATTTTCTTTCAGGGTTTGTAAAAACATCATTCCATGCCATCTATCCTTTTAAATGTTCTGTTGAGAAATCTGTTATTCTGATGGTTTTGCTTTTATAAGTGACTTGGCACTTCTCTCTTGCAGCTTTTCATATTCTTTCCTTGTATACTTAATATTTTTAGTATAATACAGCGTTGAGTCTGAAAAGACTCCTGTACCTGGATTACCATCTTTTTCTCAAGGTTTGGGGGAATTTTTGCTATTATTTTATTATGTAACTATGCCTTTAGCTTGTACCTCTTCTTTTATGCCCATGATTTATAGGTTTGTTGTTTTAAGGGTGTCCCATAAATCTTGCATGTTCCTTCCATACTTCTTCATTTTTTTCTTTAAGTTCATCTGAGTTTTCTAATACATCTGAGTTTTTCTTATCTTCAAGCTCTGATATTATGCCTCCTATTTTTTTTTTTTGACTTATAGAGCTTTTCATTTCCAGAATTTCAGTTTTTTAATTTTTTTGGCAGTACTATGGTTTGAACCAAGGGCCTTGTGCTTGCTAGGCAGGTGCTGCACCGAACTTTTTTTTTGTGTTGGGTATTTTTGAGATCGGGTCATGCTTTTTCCCAGGCTGGCCTCAAATCATGATCCTCCAGATCTCTGCTTCCCAGGTAGCTAGGATTATAGGCATGAGCCACCAATATCCGCCCAGTTTGTTATTTTTTCATTTCTCTTTATTGAATTTCCCTTTCATATCTTGCATTGTCCTCCTTAATTTCATCTGTGTATTTGTATCCTTTTTTATTTCATTAAGCTGTGTTTATTTGTATTCTTGAATTAATTGAGGTGTTTGTACATGTCCTCTTTAATTTCATTGATCATTATCAGTTCAATATTTGATATTTCTTCCATTTCCTTGTCACTTATACTCTTTATTGTGGAATTGTTGATTTTTCTAGGTGTCATGTTGCTTTGTTTTTTCATAGTTCTTAGGTTTCTAGGTTGGACTTGCTTATCTGAGGTTGTTGGAGATTTTAGTCACCAAAGTCCGTTAAATTTTCTGTGTTCTCGCAGGATTGGGTAGTTGCAGGGTAGATGTGTCCTTTCTTGCTAGTGGCCTAACAATAACAAACTCACCAATTCAAAATCAAACCAGTATTAATGTGAAGTAAGAAAACAATTAGGGACATTATCTACATCCCCAATAATGTTATACAGGAATGGGAATAGGGAATATGTTTTGTTAGGAGTTTGATAAAAAAATTGTAGGTGTATAATTTTAAAATAAGTAGTAAAAATAAGTGAGGTGAGGGAAGGAAAAAAGAAGAAAGAATATGGGGAGAAGTGGGATGAAATGTGTGAGGTAAGGGTAAATGAAATAACATTGTGGGGGGAATGTAGTTTAATTATTGTGGAGAAGGATGCTATAGTCAGGTTAAAACAATTAAGGATTTTTTAAAAGACAAACCCCCCAAAAATGAGTTAAAATAAACTACCAATAGAAACATTTATGAAGTGAAATAGAAAAAAACAAAGGTCAGTATTTCTTCCTTGTTGAGGTGGGGAGTGTTTGCTTACCAGTCTCTGTTAGTACAGAAGGTGATTCTCCTCCAGTTTCTAGCTCTCTGTGCTTCTCCTGTTGTGTTTACTCATGTATTCCCTCTGTGTGTAGTTTGGTTGTGGTATTTCATGATCCATTAAGACTGAACCAGGGCAGCTGCTGGAATGAGGCAATGCAGGTCATGTAGAGTAGCAGCAATTTCCAGGGGCTTAACTGCTCCAATAGTGGTACAACTGTGTCCCACTTCAGGGGTTCTGTTGGGTTGAGACAGTTCTGGTCCTATGAAGTAGCAGCTGGTGAGGAAAGGGGAGAGGAAGGGCCTCTGAGAAGGTAGTGGGTCAGAGAGCACTCTGCCAGTTGTGCTCATTCTTGCAGCCTGTGACTTGCCATGCACTGGGGACTCAGTGGCAGCTTGGCTTTTCTGCAGCCAGCTTTTCCCTTTTTTTGTCTAGGCCTCCAGTTTGATGTTTTGTTTGCAGTGGTGGGCAGATTGCCCTTGTCATGTGTATATATGTTGGGCTGGGCAGTGGGTTTAGGAATGTAGCCTGTGATCCTTTTCCTGCCCTTTGCTCTGTGTGTGGGACCCATGTGCTGACTGGAGCAAGGCTTGGTGGCCTCTGATCAACTTGTCTTGCAAAGACTTGCAACATATATATATGCTGGGCTAGGTGGTAGGTTTAGGGAAGTAGGCAGTTAATGGAGAATCCACCGGGCTTCCTTGTTCTCATGACTGCTTTTTGTCCTGGGAGGAGGACACAATTGCCAGTTGATTTATGTCCAGCTGGGGTAAGGCTTGCTGACCTGTGCTTGGCTGGTCCTTGCCACACATATGCTGGGCAGAGACTAGAGATAGCACAGATCAGTCCTGCTTCTGCAGGTCTGCTCTGGATTCACTTGAGTCAAGTTTTCTGTTTCTTTTGTAGATCTAAAGTTAAATATATTTTTAATTTTTTTCCTCTAGCTACTAGCTGTCTAGTTTTTTACTGGTGCTATCACTGATGGGTGTCAAAAGACTCTGATCAGGAAGTTCTCAGGGCCTTGTGTCTCAAAGCATTGGACTGAGACACAGATTGCAAAGCAGTAGAAGAATTTTATTGAAAGGAAAAGGAAAGTATAGGCACTCCAAAAGAGCGAGCTGTGGGCTCTGCCCAGAACCTTGATCTTTGTTCAAAGAGCAATTTATAAATTGGTAAGGGCAAATGGCAGGAAAAATATGGGCAGTCTTGGCACAAGAGGCTAGTGCAATTGACAGGTTTGATTGACAAGGTCTTATTCTATAACAGACATTCTGCATGTGCGCTTATGCTGATTCCCGGGATTTTAATTATATGTAAGAGATATAGTCAATATTAGTAAGGTCTTAAGTAGAGGGCTAAATTTACCTAAGAGGTCAGATTCCCTTTTACTGGGCATGAGCCATTTTCTGATGTGAACAGGCCAAGAGACTCTCTTGACTTTTGGGGAACTTACTACTGTAAAGGAATTTATAATTGAAAAGGAATTTACAAGTGAAGGGTTTGTCTGAGGATGGTACTGGGCCAAGACAGAAATACAGCATGGAATGACCTTTTGCTGAGGAGGATCAAGACCTGTGTCAGCTTTTTTCTTTTCTCTGTTACTAGCCTTGGTGCCTTCCCCTGGTTTACTAACTTGGCTGTCTTTTCTGTAGTCATATACCTAAGATTTTATTTCTGGTTTCCGGAGATGTAGGAATGTGGTGGGTGCCTGCATTTTGCCTTCTTGGGACTGGGAAAATAGTTTTTAAATGATATATGTGATTTGCTGATGTGATGAGGATCTGCTTTGTTCTAATGATTTGGCCTCTGGGCCAAGCCTCTGCTTCAGATATCTTATTGGTGACTTTATTTCCTTATCAGATTAGAAAACTAAAGCTTCAATTAGAGGAAGAGCGACAGAAGTGCACCAGGAATGATGGCACAGCTGGTGACGTCGCGGGACTACAGAACGGCTCAGACTTGCAGTTCATTGAGATGCAGAGTAGGTACCTGGTGTATGCAGGCTGTGTCTCTGGATCAGGAGTGTGAACAGGCTTGTACTATACATCTATCAGGAGCAGCTATGTTACAAAGGTTGACTAGTGCTTGGCTAGTCCAGAGGAGCAGTCCAGTTGGTAAGAGAAGCAAATAGAGGCTTGCTCACTGAGGTCTTCAGTGATATGAGAAGGTAACTTATTCATCTTGCCTGGACACTGTTCTTTCAATCACACCTGCTGTTTACTCTCATACATATCCTGCCCCAATAGTTTTTTTGTGTTTTTTTTTTTCTTGTAGAATTTATCTTGGATAATTAGAGATTTGGGACTACCACAATGTTGAGTAGTTTCAGAATTTTCCTGTTTTTAACACAAATTCACCTTTAGATGGAATTAAAAACAAGTTCAAAAATTAAAGTCTAGTCTACTCAGTTTACTCAAATTATGTTTTTTTCCCTTTATATTATTTTTAAGTGCCTAATGTATTCATATTCATAGTGGAACTATTTCAGTAGCCATTCTTATGTAGTTAGCCTTTGTTAGTGATGACAGAGGACTTTTACTTTTCCAATTTGCATAATGGCACTTCTAATAACTGATTTTAAAATCTTGGCTGATCATGCCCTTTTCCTCTAAATAATCTGAGTTAGGCTGCATAGATTTTTTGATTAAGGGTTATTAGTATTAACTTTTAAGGTTAGTATTACATCATCTTTTGATACCATCTTGCACCCTCATGACATTCCCTAATAAATATTTTATTGTAGCATATGGTTTTGGTGTGGAGCGATAAAGACAGGAACATGACAAGAGGTGGGCTGGGCTAGTTTGGTTGCTATGATGGTGAACCTGAACAGTGGCTGCCAAACAGTCCTAGAGGCCAGGCATGAGATTTAAAAGATTGGCCTGAGTCAGCAAATTCAAAAAGGAATCAAGTTGAAGGGGAATGGGCTGCCATTTGTGTGTGAGTGCTTCCTACAGCCCAGTAGGTGTTACAAAGTTGGCTTTTGCAGAAGATGGGGAAAAATATTCAGGTATAGGTAGAGAATGAGGTATGCTGAGCCTACAGCACTACATGGCTACTTAAAACAAAACATACAGATTTGTAGCTCTGAAGGCCAGGAAAGGGGCCTGGCAGTTTTGGTTCTGGAAAGCACCTTGGGATTTCAAAACACACATGAAATGAATGAGACAAGGGAAATAGAAAGAAATGGGTATTTTGAAGTGTGAGATGGAAACTGCACATTAGATAAGAATTTAAAAACAAGACCCTATAACTTCTATCCCAGACTTCATGAGTAGAAAGTTTTTTCTACTACCAGAGGTGGACTTGGGAGGTGTGGTTTGTAATCCCTTTTCTTTTCCTCCTATGTTTTTTGAGGCAGTGTCTTACCATGTAGGCCAGGCTGGCCTTGAACTCATGATCCTCCTGCTGCAGCCTCAAATGCTGGGATTACAGGTGTGCATCACCACACCTGCCTCACACTACTTTTAGGGTGACAGTAACTATCCAATTAGCAAAACCCTTTTCCTAGAAGATTATAAGGTAGTTGTCTTATCTTGGTCATGTGGAAATACAGAAAATTTCCTAAGTTAGGTAGATTGAATATTTCCTTTAGTAGGTTAGATTTGTCTTCTGCCACCTTTATGAATTTAATTATTTTAGAGAGGAACTTTTTTGTTGTTGCTAAATTTAGGCACCTGGAGTGAATTTTTATCTTCCTTTCCATTGTTTCTAAACTTCTTACTTTAAGTGATTTATTTACTTATTTGGCAGCACTGGGGTTTGAACTCAGGGCCTCACAAGTAACTAGGCAGGTGCTCTTACCACTTAAATCATTACTCCACAAGCCTTAAGTGATTTATTTCTTAGGTCAGATACACTTCTAACTTATAGCTCTACCCTTAACACATTATCCTAACATTTTAGGGCATTTTAATGCAATTTAATGAAACACATTAATTTCAGCAAATGTTTCTGAAGCATACACTATGTGCAAAGCATTTGGTTAGGTACAGAGGTAGATTTAAGAAGCTAAGACGGGGCTCCTCTTTTTACATATACACATAATATTTAAAAGGCATGATAAAAGTTACATAAATAAAATGCAGCAAGGGAAAGAGAAGTTACAGTTAACCATGGAGATGAAAATAGCATCTACAAAGCTGATTAAGACTTGAATTAGAGGTGAGATGATAGGGCACTTGAGGGATGAGAGCAGAAGCAAAATCTTAGAGGTTCAAGATTTTAAATCTAGGGCTGGATTCAGGGAACCAAGAGAGCCCAGACCTGGGAGCACTCTGAGTGCCACAGGTCTGTAGATGAGGTTGGCAGGAACCACTGCTGCCCTGTTAAGGAATCCTTGTCTCAGAGCTCTGCTCACACACATCAGGGGGAGAAGGACTTTTCATCTAACTTTTGGTCTTAGGGATACTATTGCAGCCTAAGTGCTACAGCTTCTTTCAGTACATACAGTCCAAACTTGGACTGCTGGAGATACTGATGTTTTATTGTCTTAGACTGCATGTGCTCTGCACTGTAGAGGGCATCATTGCTTGATGCTTTATGCCTCAACCTCTGGGAGATGAAGGAAATTCTTTATTATCTTCTGTTCTAGGAGATGCCAATAGACAAATTAGTGAATACAAATTTAAGCTTTCAAAAGCAGAACAGGATATAACCACCTTGGAGCAAAGTGTAAGTACTTCTTCTTTGTGGTACCAAGTGATTTAAATGCCCTTTAAAACACATCTGCTTCCTGCATCTTAAATGGCTAGCCCTGTGAATTTCTGTGGGTGGTCTTTGCAGCTGAATCTCTTTAAAAGTTCTATATTACAATAGGAAAACCAGCAGAGGGTATCTGGCAGGGCACTTTAGACTTGTGTTTTCTTTAAAATGATAGGAATCTGTACCTATATATTTTTTGTAGTTATTTCAGGAGAATTTAACATTGGAGATGTATCAAAATTCCTTAGTGTACTTTCCAAAAAGTAAAACCTTTTTCATACATTGAACCTTCTCCTAGGAGGAAAGGACCAGAGTAAGCAGTATGGTCATCATAAAACTTACCATGAGAAATTGGCCTTATAATAGTTCTGCAGCTGTAATCCTCCTTAGGGTACCCTGATTTATAGAAAGCAGTCTGGTTCTGAGAGGACCTTGGCTTCTCTAAAGTGATGTACTAACATTTTGGCTATCAAACAGTGGTGGTGAATTCTAGAGGCCTGTGTTCTCATATTTACAGATTAGCCGGCTTGAGGGACAGGTGCTGAGATACAAAACTGCTGCTGAGAATGCTGAGAAAGTTGAAGATGAGCTCAAAGCAGAAAAGAGGAAGCTACAACGAGAGGTACTTGTGCTGTTGGAGAGCACATTCCCCCCGACCCAAAAAAAATCCTTGTAAATAAATTCTTCACTCTGTTAAGAAATTTACTTCTGGGTCAAATCTTAAGGAAACAGGATTTTGTGCTGATTTTGTGCATGGTGACTGCTGTTTACTTTTGGTCAGTTGGCAGCAAATAAAAAGATAGTTTTTTTGTTTCAGATCAAGCCTGTTTCTGCAATTTCTGCCTGTCTCTTTTGTGATTTAAACAATCCTCAGCATCATTGTTTAACACCTCTATCTGGGAAAAGCAGTACTTCCATTTTCCCAGAAAGCTGAAAATAAAGTACAACTGGGTTTTGTTTCTGACCATGTATAGTGACTGTTCTCTCCCTGTCTCCAGTTACGAACAGCACTGGACAAAATTGAAGAGATGGAGATGACCAATAGTCACCTGGCCAAGCGGCTGGAGAAGATGAAGGCCAACAGGACAGCACTTCTGGCCCAGCAGTAGGGAAGCCACCCTTCTAATTGGATGTTGCTCTAAGAGCCCTGCCCAGAGGGACTGACTTTTTGTATATCAACACAAATCCCTTTCAGTACTGTTTGAGTCTTGTCATTAAAACAGTCACCTTTGTATTTTATAATTTATGAGAATGAAGCAGGTTTGAATCTTCATGAATGATCACTTTGGATTTTGTTTAGTTTTTATTTTTTGTTTTAATGATTTTTAGAATCAAGTTTATTCAACAATTTCCCCCCAGCTGCCTCAGTGACACTCAGAGGCCTTTGCTTGAGTTCTGGAGGACAGCGATTCTGAGTACCCACTGACACTTGCTGGAGATCTCGGAATACACAAGTGCCTTCTCCACAGTGTGATTCAGACTTCAGAGATCTTGAATTGTCAAAAGACATTTACTCTTCCTATCAGCATTTACATTTTAGTGAAAAAATAAGTTCACAGGTAGGCAGTCTATATTTCAAATTTGTATGTTTGGAGGAAAAGGCCTTTTTTATAAAATATTTAAGTTTATATAAGAAAATGTTAGAAAAAGATATGGGGATTATATATAAAACTTGCATTACTGCATAGGGCAGGAGAAGTCCAAGGCCTATATTCTTAAAATAAGAGTAGGGTCTTTATTCTTCCAGATCAACTGTGTCATACCTTGTGAAGTATTCTCATCTGCTGCTTATTTGTGAAATGAAACTTCAGACAAGCCCAAAGGTGGATAGAAGGTCAGGGTAGGAAGGCGGGGAATCCTGCTGAAGATCCTATTAAACATACCCTTTTGCCAACAACAATTGGCTACTGACACGTTCATTTTGTTACTGAACCTTTTAGAACTGGCAAGCACACCTATTCTATCTTGCTCGTCTTCTTTTCTCCTCCTCAAGGAAGAACTCTTAAGAGGTTAGATTTTATCTTTAAAAGTACCCAGTTTGAGTTTTTTTTTAAAACCTTTGCAGTGTTTTGTGATTCTTTTGTCAGAATCAGGGTGGTCTTGTGGAAATGATTACTGTAGCTTCAAAGTGTTTACAAAGAAAATACATTGGGGAAAATCTAATGAGTCAAGGCACTTAATAAACTACACTGGAAACTAGATAATAAAAGTTAACTCAGAAGTGAATAAAATCTCTTTAATAATTGTTCCCTTGTTTAGAATATGGAAACCAATCTGAACGGAGAATTCCCCATACATTTTCTAATAGTAACAACACTTCTGTGGTTGAGGGTGGGGGGATGTTCTGAAATGCAGATTTATCCCATAACCCTCAGCCGGAACCAGCAAATGGTGTGGTCCAGTTTGAGGCCTCGGTGTCTCCTCTTCTCCATTCATTCAAGGTCACTTGGCCTTTGCCTTATGGGGATCATGGAATCTCACTTCTGAGATTTCCTGCTCTGCTCTGTCTGTTGCTTGGAGTTTAACTGGTGGCACTAGTGTTCAGGGCCTCGTGTTTGTTAGGCAGGCACTTTTACCACTTGAGCCATTCTGCCAGCAAATTTGATTTTTTTAGTGGATTTAGGACATGAAAAGCTGAAGCTTTGGGCTAGTCTTGACCACCTGTCCCAGAATGCCAAGAGATGAGTCCCACAGGTGACAGTGACTCAAGCCTATAATCCTAGCTCCTTGGGTGGCAGAGAGTAGGAGGATCGTGGTTCAAGGCCACCCAGCAGGGGAAGTTTGTAAGACCCCTGTCTTGACAGAAGAATCTAGGTATGGTGGAATGTTCTTGTCATCTAGTTACAGCAAGAAGCATTAGATGGGAGGATTGTGGTCTAGGCTGGCCCTGGCAAAATGAGACTGTAGCTCCAAAATAATCAGAGCAAAAATGGTCAGAGGTGTGGCTCAAGCAATAGAACACCTGCCCAGCCAAGTGCTAAGCTCTGAGTTCAAACCCCAGTACTATTCTCCCTCTTCCCCAATTGGTGGTGAAGGGCAGAGAAAGGAAGTTTAATCAATGTGGCCATGATGGGAAGAACAAATGATGGGGTTCAGTGAACATTTTCAAGGGGGATGACAAAGAACTCTTAAGATTTTATAGAAAAGGAAACAGGAGGTGGGGGTTGAGTTACGCATGGCTGATAGACCAAGTTACTCTTGGTCAGGCCAGTGATATGACTGATCATTATCTCAGTTCAGGTTCCACAAGGTGTTTTGGAGAAGTATTCATCGCTATAATCACTTTAGGGGGACAATCTAGTTCTCATGTGATGATTATTCCTGCTCTGGTGTGTAGCCTTATTCACCATTATGGGTAACTGCCCTCATCTGGGGGTGATCTGTCCTTCAAAGCTCACTATTGCTTGGAAGTAGTTCTAGTCCCTTGCCATAAAGATACTTATTGATCAGTCCTATCATTCCCGAAATCCAAAGATAACTACAGAAGAGTGTGACTCAGGAGGAAAACAAGTTAAGAGGAACAGAGCCAGAAGGGAAAAAATGGAGTTGGTTAGGCTAGTGAATGGTACCCTCCTTCACTTGTACATTATCCTTCAAACAAGAATACCTAGAAACTTAAGTGACAAGTACTAATAGCCATTAGCTTAGTGGACTAACTTAAAAAACTCATACACTTAGAGACTGGATAAACACTTATTTCTTCCCTCAAGTTTTTTCATTGTTTACTGAAGATATTAATAGTTTTTTAATTCACGCTTTCTTCATAGTCAATGTCAACAGACTTTTTAAAAATCCTGAACTGTCACAATATATGGCACCTGACAATAAAAGTTCACCAGAACAGAAAAAAAATCAGTCGGAGCATGACCTGGGAAATCAAGACCTTTTTAGAATTTTTTAAATTTTTTTTTGGTAGTCTGAACTCAGGACCTTGTGCCTGCCAACTGAGCAATGCCTCCAGCACTTTTGTGCTTTAGTTATCTTTTTTGGATAGGTTCTTGTGTTTTTTGCTTGTGGCTGGCTTTGGACCTCCGTCCCCCTATGTAAGTTTTCCACATAGCTGGGACCACAACTGTGTACTTTAGTCTGGCTTGTTGGTTGAGATTGGAGGAGAGGGGTGAGTCTCACAACTTTTTGCCCATGCTTGCCTTGAACTGTGATTCTCCCAATCTCTGCCTCCCAAATAGCTGGAATTAAGACATGAGCTACCCTTTTCAGATGGCCAAGGGGCATCCCACACTTCTTTTGGGATTCTTCAGTATATATGCTAGGGGAAAACTGATCTAGAAAAGTTTTCAAGTGTAAGTAGTTAAGTAAGAAATCACACAAGAAACACCTGACAATTTATTTGTAGTCACTATCACACATGGACAGAAAGGAAGATCAAAAGACCCCTGAGTCCATATTTAACACCTCTCAAAGACTTTGTATAGGTCAGGCAGGTTGGCAAGCTGCAGGACATTTCCATCTTCTGTGAAATGCTTAGGAGGTAGAAGGTGTGAACGGAAGGCTTTATAGACAATGTGTTCCACAGTCCACTTCCAGGAGTTTGGAGTGGAGCCAGACACTTCACTCTGGAAGACACAGGTGAGATGTTGTTTGTGTTCCTGGCTGATGGCATGGCATGGGGCTCAATGGCTTATACTGGGCTATGTTGCCTAAAGCTTTGTAAAGCAGCCTTTGCAGGCCAGTCTTGGGGATTCACAGGCCTGAACACAAGAGACAAGGTTTTTGATGGAGAAAAGAACCCACTACTTCGTGGAACTGTCTCCTATGGAACTCTTGTTTCCATGCAGAGAGAGTGTGTTGATTGGATGCAGCAGAATCTAACAATGTCTGATCCTGATACCTGGGTGGCAGCAATTGGAAGTACCTAAATCACCACAAAATTTTGGAGTTTTAAAGTAGCCCTGTTTTTCCAAAAGCTCTAAAAATAAGAAATGAAGATAAAAATAACAAAGGTAATTTTGGCTCATTGTTCCTCTCCTACTTCTAAGACTTGCTGTCTCAGATACAAGATGTTCTTTGGCATCTGTCCTGCTTTTACTTGAAGTGCATTTTTCTAATCAAATAATTCAGCACAGTTTGCTAAGTGTGCTGCCTTGCCTTCTCCACTGGAGTGAGAAATTCCCTAGGGCTTTAGCCAGCAGGACCTAGGACTCAATCTGCTCCACCAACTAATGGCCCCTTGAAGGGGCCAGCTGTCCTGTGGTTTCCTTATTGGTAATGGAGCATATACTTCATCTTGGGGTGGCTGACCCAGTCACTTTAATAAGACATTGGCTATCCTTTGATTCTCATACTCTTCAACCTCTTTTTTTTCCTCTCCCCTGAAATACCTGTTCACTAGAAAAAGTGAAAAGAAACATTAGGAACCCAGGCTGCATTTGTGTCAAGTTGATTTGTAAGTGGTATTACAGAGCTTTGCTTTCTGGGCAAGGCAGTGGCAAGAGCAGAACAGAAACTCTTAAAAGGGACAGGGGAGACTGACCCAGAATCTGGGCTCAAGTGCTGACAATGGCAGATACGGACCCACTAGCCTTAGCTAATTTAACCCCACCTTTCCTTTCTCACAAGCTTTGTGATGGCTTGTGCTTCTTTTTACATTTGACAATTTCTGAGATCACTCTGGAGGTACTAGAACAGAAGGAAATAAAACTATGAATAAAAGCTGATTACTGTGAGGCCAGGCATGGTGATATATGTCTATAATGCCAGCACTCAGGACACAGAGGCAGGAGGATTTTGAATTTGAGGCAAACCTGGGTTGATAGGTCATTTCTCAAAAAAGAAAAACACACAACTGACCACTGTGTTTGAATGTGGTCATATACAGTGAAATTCCAGGATTTTAGAGATTGGCAAGTTTCATGTCCTAAGGATGTGTGAGGTTCATCCCAGTCCTAGGTGCCAAAGTACATCCCCATAGTACCTGCTGGCCTGAGAGAACTGTCTCTTCAGATATATACTGCTTCCGGATGGAGTAAAACATAGCACATTCTTTACTGAGGCTTTCAAAACATTCCTTTTCTTCATCCCAATTCACCTGGTTCAGAGAATAGGTACAGGCTTTAAACATTTTCATTTCTAAATGGAGATCGCAGACTACTTACAGCTAAAGAATGAAATGTGACTTTTCAGGCATTAAAACTGTCAACTGGATGCTAAATACTGCTGGGATGAATTCTGGGGGGAATGATGGGTCTGTTGGCTGTTTCATTCTTGTTATCTTTATAGTTTCAAATGACAGTGTGGTCATGTGTTCGCTCCCTCTTGCACACACAACCCATTGCTTTGCATCTGCTTGACCACTTACCTCTGTGGCTAGTCGAAGGATGAAGATTGGCAGGCCTTCCAAAGGGGGCACATAGTTATCTATTAGAAGGGGTAATCCAATCAGGTTCCCTTCCTGCTTGTCGGGAAAAGGTCAAGAAAAAAGAATAAGAAATAATAGCTCAAACACATTTCATTTCTCTAGTGCTTCCCTAAGTCACACCTGCCACTCTGGATAACTGGGTACTAGTCTGGAAATTGGGGATGGAAGAGCTAAATAGTTAAATGCTTTTTGTCCTGACATGCAGTAGAAACACCTTTTCGTTAATCAATACATCAAGATGGAAAGCCTCAAAGACCAAGGGGTAAAAGGAAAAGATGAGAACAAGTGGCATAGCTTCATTCACTATGGCCTGCAGGGACTGGAGTTCAGTTATCCTTGTGTCTAAGTCCACCCAGGGAACAGGAGTGGTACAGATGGATGACAGCACCCTTGTATAACCCAGAAATGCAAATGGAGAGTGAAGAGTGTTATATGCTGCTGCTGAGGGGAGTCCAGCCTTCTGGACTTGGAACTTGACTAATCTGAAGAATGCAACAATCTAATACCTCAAAAATGGCTATCCTACCCCATCTATTTCCAAAGAGAAATAGTCTGCAAGCATCTCAGCCTTCTTCTTCAAAAACTCAACAATATATTCAGCAAGTCCTTCTTTGGGGCCATCTTCCTCTGTCCAGCCACTCTCAACACTGTCTAAGGCAAGCATGGCGAGGTCAAAGAGTGGTGCTGGTTCCTAGGAAGGAGCAAAAACATTAAGGAGCAGCCTGAAGCCTAATCCCCACAACCCATTGTCAGTTCAGCCACAAAAGTATCAGAACAGCAAGTGAGGAAACCACAAATTTAATACTCATTTCTCATTTTCCCCAAATGAAGCACTGAACAAATCACTACCAATCCTCCACTCCTCTTGTCAACTGGGATCTCAACAGAGAAGACTGGCAAAAGCCTGCTCTCCAGGTAGGAAGGGTGAGGTACTTTCTTCTATGCAACCTTAAAGACTCAACTTATTTTCTAGAAAATTACTAAGCAGATCATTTCTTTCTACTGCCTTACTCACAACTAAAGCAGGGTAGAGGGAGATTAAGTTAAATGATGTTTCAGGTAACTTATCTGTTGGGAAAGAAGGCTGAAAACTATGATTAGAAACAGATGTGTCAGTTATGTTCCATTCTCCCTCTGATGTTCCTGTTGTCATACTTTTTACATGTTATAAACCTACAGTGCACTGTTACTTTTTCATAATAATGGTCAATCAAAAGGACATGACAATCTTAAATGTTTATGTACCCAATAACAGCCTTAAAATATTTAAAGGAAAAAAGTTAACTACAAAGAGAGACAGATCAATTTACAACTGCAGTTAAAAGTTCCAATACCCCTTTCTCAACAATTAGTAGACAGAAAATCACTAAGGGAATCTAAGATTTGACATCACTATAATTTAATATACTTGATGTTTGTAGAACAGTCTCAAGAATACAAATTCAAGTATGAAAAGAACATATACCAACAAAGACCAATCTTCTATGCCATGAAACAATTCTCAATAAAGTGTGGAAGGGCTCAGGTATGTTCTTTGACAACAATGGAATTAAAATAGAAATCAATAACATCTCTGGAAAACCCCTAAGAGACTGAAAGCTAAAGAAGATAGTTCTAAATAACCTGTGGGCCAAAGAAGAAATTAAAAGGGAAATTAGAAAGTATTTTGAGCTGAATGAATATAAAAACTATGTCAAAATCTGTGGCAAACTGCTAAAGTAGTACTTAGGGGAAATTTATAACACTTAATACATACATTAGAAAAAAATGAGGTTCTCAAATCAGTGACCTCAGCTTCCACATTAAGAAATGTGAGACAAGGCAGACCAAAATAAGTCAAAGAAAGGAAATAATAAAATCAGAGCAGGTATTAATGAAGCAGAAAACAAAAAATGAGAATCTGTGAAGGCAAAAAAAAGATCAATGAAAGTGAAACCTCTACTCAGACTGATGAAGTTAAAAAGAGAAAACTTTGGCTGGGCAGGGTGGCTCATGCCTGTAATCCCAGGTACTCAGGAGGTAAAAACTGGGAAGAGGCACAGTTCTAGGTCCCAATCTGTGTGATGTGTGGTGGTGTGCAGCTGTAATCCTACTTTCGTAGGAGGCTTTAGGCAGTAGTATTGTGATCTGAGGCCAGCCCTATACAAAAAAACTGAGACCCTATCTATCTGAAAAATAACTGAAGCAATAAAAGGACTAGGAGAATGGCTAAGTAGAGTGCCTGCCTAGCAATTACAAGGCTTAAGAGTTTAAACCCCAGTACTACCGAAATATTTAAATTACCAAGTTAGGAATGAGAGAGGTTACACCACAGATCCATACTATTAAAAAATTAAGAAGTATGAAGAACTTTATGCTAATAAATTTGGAAACTTACATTAAATGGACAAGTTTCTTCAAAGAAAATGCCAAAACAAAGAAACATAACCTGAACAGCTTTATAACTAGTAAAGAATTTGAATTTTAGTAAAAACTTTCCCATGATGAAATCTTCAAGTCCAGATGGCTTCATCATGAGTTTTACCAAACATTAAGGAAATAACACCAATTCTACAAAACTCTTCTAGAAAACAGAAAAGAATACTTACCACCTCATCTATGGAGCCAGCATTACCCCGATATCAAAGCCACGTAAATACAGAACAATAAACAACTAATAATATTCATGAACATAGATGTAAAAATTACAAACAAAACCTTAGCAAATGAAATCTGATAGTAAAGCATGACCAAGCAGGGTTCACCCCCATGGGTGTAAAATTAGTGTAACATGAAAACTAGTCAATGTAATTCACTAAATTAATACACTAAAAAAGAAAAATCGAGACTAAAAATGAAAAATATAATTAAGTTAAATCATATGATTTTCTTAATAGATGCAAAAAAAGCACTTGAAAAACATTCAATACTATTCCTAAATAAAAACTCCAAGCAAACAAGGACAAGGAAAATTCCTCAGGCTCATATGGAGTACCTACAGAAATTCTGGTCTGGCTTGGTGGCTCATGCCTGTAACCTCAGCTACTTGGGAGGCAGAGATCAAAGTTCAAGGCCAGCCCAGGAAAACAGAAAGACCTCATCTTGATAAAAGCTGGGTGTGGTGGGAAGTATGATGCTGGATGACAAAAAGGGCTACAGGCATGACTCAAATGGTCAGCACTTGCTTAGCCAAGGGCAAGCCTGAGTTCAAACCCCAGTACCACCAAAAAACCCAAAACAACAACTTCTATGTCTAAAAGAATACTTAACGATGGAAGACTGAATACTTTTCCCCTAAGAATCAGGAGGAAGAAAAGGATTTCCACTCTTGCTGCTTCTACTCAACTTGGTACTGCAGGTTCTAGTCAGTACAATAAGTCAAGAGAAAGAAGAGGCATCTAGATTGCATAGAAAGAAGTAAACTTCCTTTATTATCAGTAACTTGACTGTGTAGAAAATGAGAATTTACAAAAAAGTTACCAGAAACGCAACTTTACCAAGCTGAAAGATAACATCAACTGTACAAAATTCATTTGTCTATATACTAGCAATAAACAATTTACAATTAAAAAATTTGCCATCTACAAGCATAAAAAATGAAATATTAGGGGATTAGTCTATCAGATTTTCCAGACAAATTAATCTATAAACTCAACAAATCCTAATCAAAATCCCAGATTTTTTTTTTGTAGCATCTATTAAAAAAGAAGCTACATGGGTAGTATGATTTTAATTCTAAATGTAAAATCAGGCACTGAAAAAGTCTTAAAGAAATGGACTAAAATTGTTAGTGATAGGTCTGAGGGATACTGGTCAGTGGTAGAGTACCAGCCTAGCAAAAACGAAGCTCTAGGTTTGATCCCCAGCAACACCCCGCCACACTCCAAAAAAAAAGAAATGTTACTGAGTATTATGTTTTAACCATAGTTTTAGAGAATGTTTATTTCTATCTCTTTTCAACTTCTGCAATAATTATTTAAGGTGGCTACCAAATAGCCAAGTATATGGTTATTCAGCTGAAAGTATAAAACTACCTCAGTTAAATGCCTCCATATGCAAATCATACAACAGAGAAACTCCTAAGCATATTTAGGAAAGCTTAATATATAGTATTAATATATTATATAGTGTACTAAATAAGATATTACTACAGAGCTCGTATTTTGAGAAATGACAAGTTGGAGCTTCAGAAATGAGAAGATAAACTTACCGATAACCTCAGAACACCAAAATTGGCAAAGTCATAGATGAGTATCTGGTAGAATAGCTCCTCACTGAAAACAGAAATGAAGTGATTTTAGGGAAAAGCTGAATACATGCATGAGAGCTAAGCAGAAAGGATAAAAATGGGAGAACTCCTGAAACATAGATGGGACAAAGAGATGGTTCAGTTTGCTGTGGACCCCGGTTAACAGTTTAACATGATCGTAGACCTACAAAGAACCAGGATTCCCAACATCTATTTCCATTAAGGCCGTGAGTGGTCAGCCCCAAGGACAGGTACCAACACCAAGACTATGTGTGGCTTGTCTCCACCCCTCTGGCGCTATAAAAGGTTTTTGGCACCCTATAATGAAATTTAAGAAGTGTTTTGTTTGCTTATTTTCCCCACACTTAACAAAGAATCCTATAAATTACTTTTTGACAACTTAGTATTAAAAATTATATGGGAAGACTGGTGGTGTAGCTAAGTGGTAGAGAGCTTGCCTAGCGTATTTGAGGCCCTGAGGTTGCCTAGCAAGCGCAAGGCCCTGAGTTCAATACTCAGTTTTATATATATATATATTATCTATTCTCATTGGAAATCCTTCTCAGTTATTAATCAGGTTGAAGTTATCATTTCCAAAGTATTTGGAACCAGAAGTGTTTTGGACTTTGGAATATTTGCACATACATAAGGAGGTATCTTGGGGATTAGACTCCATTCTAAGCATGAAATTAATTATGTTTCATTTATACCACAAACATACAGCTGAAAGGTAATTTTAGACAAAGATTTTTAATAACTTTTACAGGAAACAAAGTTTCATGGTGTGGAGTTTTCCACATGTGGTACTACACTGGCATTCAAAAAGCTTCAGACTTTGGAGCATTTTGGATGTCAGATTAGGGATTGCTCAACCTGCAAGTTTGGGACTGGCCTGGATTTGTATCTGTGAGATGAAAGAACCTAAACACAACTATGATTTGGAGCTTTGAAAATAATACACTTAGATATGTTGGAAAAGAAAAATCAAGGAAAGCAGAAATTTCAACAAATTAGTAAGTGACAGCTCACCATACAAACCCAAGGACAATGGAAGTTGGTTAGAGCTGTACCAAAAGGAAGAAGGAGTTCTGACTACTCAAGGAGATACAAGCTTCTGGACTAGGGCAATTTCTAGGTTACAGATGGCAAATAGGTTTTTATCTTGTGTGCCAAGTCCACGCAATGGCATAGTAGCTTCTTGACAAGGTCAAGAAGCACTGTGAAGTCACACAGTAGGGCTCAGAGGGAGAGTCAGGAGATTAATCATGTCCAGTAGATGCAAGGTGGCATCATCTTCCCGTCTATATTACCTAGTTGAGAACATACTTAATACTGGTTCTAATCTTAACAGACACAAACAGGCTCATCTGTCAAGGTCCCAGGAAACAGAAATGTTGCAGGCTATGCACAAGGCAGTGGCACTGCTGGGGTCACCTTTTCGGTGCTGATTAATACCCTGTCTCGTTTGGTGGTTAGAGTAAGTCTTTGTACATTTTCAGAGCATCAGGTCTTCTTTCCCTTGCCTCCTCCACAGTATTCTGTTGCACACAGCAGATACTATAATTCCCTAACAGTACCAAGCCCTCAAAACTTTAGAGTGCTAAGTGTCTACATCAAGGACTAGGCTTCTCAGATTATTTCTTACACTCACAAAAATAATGTGAGTTAAGTAATACTATTCAAATTTATAAATGAGAAACGTGAGACATAGTTTAGGAAAGTAACCTAAATGGGAAACAGTTAAACCTGGGTTTGAAACCACATCTGCCTGACTCTCAAGCCTGAGTCCTTTTCAGCTACCTCATCTGCTCTCCCAGCTTTTGTGCCTGTGCCCCATGGCCCATTTTCTCCCAGTGGCCTGCTGCTTTCATACAGTGATGTACCTAAGTTTGGTGGTGTTGAGAAGATACAGCTTGGTCTGATGCTGTGCCAAGGCCCACTGAGGATTTGCACAACCCACGAAGGAGTGGTTACGAAGCATCTCCCGGAGAGCTGGAAAACAAAAAAACAGATAAGTAATGAAATCCTAGCAAATACTGCTTCATGTCCCAAGTCACCAAGCATGAGAACTAAAGACACCAAGCATGAGAACTAAATACACCAAGCAAAGTTGTATGAACAAACAGATGATCGCCCATTGAAAACAAGCCATATGTAGAATAAAATGTAACTCATTTCTTAAAATGCAGTGAGAAATTGCTAAAAAATTAAGAACTTTTCAAGGATCAAAAGACAAAGTTAGGGACCCAGAGAAGTGATGAGAGCTTAGAAGTTAGCTTTATCCAAAGACACAAGAGGAGCCTCAGGAATCACAGACTTCAGCTTTTACAGGCTCTGACAGAGTGTAAAAGAAAACGAAGTCTGGGAGTGGTTTATGTGGGCCCCTGACCCACACCTGGGGCTTAAATCTGCACCCTATGTTGAAGGAAGCAGTGCTACTGTGTCCCATATCCACTCTACTCCCTGCTGGTTGTCAAATCTGCCACCCAAGACTTGATGTTGGAAGAAAAGTAACATCCAGAGTATGTAACCATAAATTGGTCTTCACATGCTTTTTACACTCAGAATTTATGATAAACAAATTGCCTGAAAAGCTTAAGTGAAGATTTTAGTTTAAACTGATGCCAGAATGGATTTTTCTTTCAAGTCCCTGGTAGAATCAAATGAAATTCTCTCTAGAAACATTTGGTTCAATGTAGGCTTCAAATAATTCCCCACAGATAAAAGTACCAGGAACTAACAGTTAAAAGAATTACAAAACATGCTGGGCACTGGTAACTCACGCCTGTAGTTCCAGCTAGTTGGGAGAAAGAGATCAGGAGTACCACGGTTCAAGGCCAGCCTAGGCAAATAGTTTAATACTCAACACAAAACAGGGCTGGCAGAGTGGCTCAAGTGATAGAACACCTGCCTAGCAAATATGAGGCCCTGAGTTGCAACTTCAGTACCACCAAAAAAAAAAAAAAATTACAAAAAGAAAAAAAAATTTACACAAAGAAACAAGGCACCATGACTGAGAATCCACAGACAGTCACAGGATGAGATCTACAAAGGTTTCACAGATTGGAAACATCAGCAAAGAATACAAATAGGTGTGTTCAGTATGCCTGAGGTACTAAAACTATAATTAACAGCAGGACACCATCAAAAACAGTAATGTAGATCTTCAAACAAGTCAAATAAAAATTCTGAAAGTAAAAAAAATAGCAAAATTAAAAATCAGCCAGGCCCGGTGGCTCACGGCTGTAATCCTAGCAACTCAGGAGGCAGAGATCAGGAGGAACATGGTTTGAAGCAAGCCTGGGGAAATAGTTCTCAAGATCCTATCTCAAAAATACCCAGCACAAAAAAGGGCTGGTGGAGTGGCTCAAGGTGTATATCTTGAGTTCAAGCCCCAGTACTGCCCGCCCCTGCCCAAATTGAAAAATCAAGATAGTTTTAATAGATTAGACAATGTTGTTGGGGTAATTAACAAGAAGGTAGATCAAAAGAAATTATCCAGAATGTAGCACAGTGAGGCAAAGAGAAAGAAAACATGAAAGATATATTCTACAGTGTGAAGGACAATAAATATGGAACCTAAATCCCAGAAGGGGTGGTGAGTGGGCTAATATTTGAAGACTCTGAAGACAAAATATCTGAGAATACCACAGAAATGCTGAAAAAATGTCAAACTTCAGTTCTAGGAAATGAAAAAAACCCTATCTAATACAGTTACTGCAAGGTAACTGTAGTAACCTTTACAAACGGTGGCGGGAGCAGGGGCAGAGAGAAGGACAGACAGAAAGAGATCTTAAAAGCACTCAGAAGAAAAGAGAGCTAGCCCTCTAAGTATTGAATATAAGACTGATGGCTGAATTTTTAACTTTAATAGCAGAAATCAGGAATTGAGAGAAAAATACCTTCAATGCACTAAGAAAAAACAATTGCCAATCTGGAACTTTATGGGGTTTTTTTTTATTTGTTTGTTTTTTTAGTACTAGGTTTTGAACTCAGGGCTTTGTTCTTATTAGGCAGGAAATCTACCACTTGAACCATTTCTCCAGCCCACCAATGTGGAACTTTAAAACTCAACCAAAAGTTTTCCAAATAAGGGTGAATTAGACAAAGCAAAACCCAGTTCCACTGCTACTGTCTGAATGTTTGTCCTCTCAAGTTTCATGTGTTGAAATCCTAATCCCCTGGGAGATGGTATTAGGAAGTGAGGTCTTGGGAGGTTTAGGTTCACTTTCCTGCCTGGGATTAGTGTCCTTATAAGAGACCCCAAAGAGCTAGCTACCTCTTCCACCACATGAGGACACAGCTAGAAGGTGCCACCTAAGAGAGCCAAGTCTTCACTAGACAATCTGCCAGCACCTGCATCTTGGACACATTAGTCTCCAGAACTGTGAGAAGTAAATTTCGATTGTCTAGTAAGTTACCCAGTCTATGGTAATTAATTTGTTATAGTAGTCTGAAAGGGCCAAGACAGTCACTCACTAAAGGATGTGCTTCATGGAGATGATAAAAAGCCTAAGGGAAAGAATTATGAGCAAATAAAATGTAGTAAATAAAATTAAGCTGACAACAGCAATGTGCTATAGGGTAATTAGACATTCAAATGAAAATTATGACTCTTAACAACATACTTAAAAACTCAACACTATGTGGGCTAGAGACTTAAGAACGAGCCTTTTAGGAGACAATATAAGAGCATATAAGACTGGTGGGGGAATGTATGTTTTAAATTATTACAGAGTTAGGAAGAACTTCCTAAGATAAAAGAAGCTAGCTGGTATGGTGGTATGTACCTTTAGTTCCAAGTACTTGGGAGGCTGAGGCAGCCTGGGAAAAATAGTGAGACCCCATCTCACAAAAACATAACAAAAAGCCAATCAAAGAAGAACTGATAAAATCTGCCTACACTAAATTAAGGAATTTTTATTCATGAGAATAAATGTTCATTAAAAAAAAGTTACCAGATAAGCACTAAACTGGAGTAAGATATTTTCATGTAACTGATTATAATCTAGAATATACAAAGAACTTCTAAAAATTAGCTTAAAAAGTTTAAAATTTAAAAGATTAGCTAGAAAAAACAGAAACATGAACTTGAATAGACACTTAATAGAAGAAATACAATTACTAAAATTTATTATTAACCAAGGAAATGAAAGCAAAACCACTATTAGGTATTGTTTCACAATCACCAAACTAGTAGAAGACCTAAAAAATATAAAATGTTGGACAGAAAGAGTAAGTACTTGGACAGTAGCGCAAGTACTACTTCTGTACACTGTTGGTAAGAGTGTAAGTGAATACGACCCCTTTGGAAAACAATGTGTCATTCTATGACCTAGCAGTCACTCTCTTAAGTAAATACTCCACAGCTTTGCAACTAGTGTACCAAGCCACTGATCAACTTCAAGCAGGATAGCAGGATGAGATGTGAGGTGCCAGGACTGACACCATGTGAGAGTCCTCCAAATGTCCTTCAACAGAATGAGTGAGCGGCATATTTATGAAGTAGAATCCATTACACAGAAAAGGTAAAACAGAGTTGTATGTAGCGAGATGGATGAATCTTAGGAACACAATACGAATGTGTATATTCACATATAATACAGCATTCCATTTATATAAAATTTAAAGCTCACAAAAGTAAATGGTTTTTTAGCAATACAAATATACCTGGTAAAACTATAACAATGAAGTAAATAATAATCACACAATTCAAGGTAGTAGTTACTTCCAGTTACCTCTAGTAAGACAGGGAAGCAATATATTAAGAAGTGCTTCAAAGGTGATAGCAATGCCCCATTTCTTAAGTAGATGGTATTCTCATAGGCAATCATTTTATTTTCTGAAGATGCCACATGAGTTTATAACTATGATTCTGGATTTACCAGTATACCTATATGTCTGTATTTATTATTATTACTGTTATTATTATTATTACTATTTTGACAGTGCTTAGAATTGAACCCAGGGGTTCACACATGGTAGGCAAATGCTGTACCACTTAGGTACATTTCCTAGGCCCCCCAAATTAGTTTTAATAAAAGAAGTAAACACACCACTACCAAAAAGGAGGAGGAGGTGGATGAGGAATTGGAGAAAACAGGAAGAGGGTCTGGGAAGAGCAACAAGCCTGTATATCATGTTTTTACTGCACTTTCTTCTTAAGCTTGGATGTCACAGGTGAATTAACATTGTTATGTAAGTTTTGCGATTAGCCCCCACCCTCTACCCCCTTAAAAAGAGGCTTATTTTATTCATTTTTAGAATTAAGTGTTCCCCTCTGTTCCCACTGGAGACTGTATAGGATGTTCTGTGTAGGCAGAAAATGATTATTTTAAAAGCTGGAGAACATCAAATAATCTTGAATAATGAGGCACTGGAGCAAAGAGAAAGCAGTGTAATACACTAAAGCAGGGCCAGAGAATTTTCCATGCTGAGTGTTCATGGATTGCCCTGATGCATCTCAGCTACTGAAGTGCAACCCAACCAGTAGCAGGGCAGGGACAGGGGCTAAGCTTCTTCACAGGGCCTCTGCACAGCCTCTTCTCAGGACTTAAAGGGCCTGAACTTCATTCCCATTCCCTATAAGTCCGCCCAGGCATCTGTATGCATTTTCTGACTGTTCTGCAAAGAGCAAATCAGGACGATTCTTTCTATGCTTCAAAGCCAAACCACATACTTCATAACCAAGGCCTTGTATGTTGGCATGTTGTTCTTAGAAGTAGCAAGTAAAGCCAAACCTAAGAACGGGTCCCACTTGCAGGACAGACCCCCCCACCCCAATGCCAGTGCCTCTGCTGTTACCTGAGTTTATCAAGAAACCCTCCCAACCCTTTCAGAGGATCTCAGCAAAGGTTCCTGCTTGTAGTTTGTTTCATTCGATCTAATGCTTCAGCCACTTGCTTATGAAAGAATCTCTATACAACACCGTGGTATCTTGAAAGCCAGGGGTTCATCTCACCTTCCCCAAGAGTGGCACAATGTATTTTGTATAGGGAAGATACTTACTAGACAAATGATTGCTGACTGATTTCATGTACCAAAGCAGTCTCCTGTGACAAACCATGTTAAGATGTGTATTTGGATGCAAGACTGTTTGCCAAAGACCAAGAAAATAAAACTAAACTGTGGCTATCTGGAGGCAAAAAATGCTAAGCGTATTTTCACATTCAAATGATCACCAATAGCTTACAATGTTCCTTATCCCTGTTTAATTAGGACAAAATTGTGGGATTAGCAGTAAATTCATTAACAGTTCCCAATTCCATAGATGTCTGAGCAAATACTGGGCCTTCCAAAATTAACCTCATTTGTTAACTCAAAGTGTGCCTAGCAGGAATGGGCATATCACTCAGGCTCGAGAGTTGTTACATTACTGAGTGTTCAACTTTAACATCCTTCAGAATAAAGCTTCAGGGCTTCAGCTATCAGGCTGCCCCTCATTCATTTACTCACCCTTTAGCAAACAGTCTCCATACCCACATGCCAGGCACTGTGCTGGGTACCAAGGATGAGGCAGTGAACTCAACAGACATAGCCCTGCACAAATGGCACACTGAGGAGCACCACACAGAAAAGCACAACCAAGAATGCTATTATGAGAAAAGTAGCTGCCACTTCTTTCTTGGGTCAGAGAAATAACTTCATCAGGGAGCAGCCAAGCTGTGGACTATTAAGGTTGGTAACCTTCCTCACCAAATCTGAGCCTCAGAGAAATCCCAGTACAGCATTTGACTCAAAGATGAGCAACTTCTTCCAGCTTGTGTGAACATCATCCCAGCACTGGGCACAAGACAGAGATCCTTCCCCAGTAACAGCACCTTGACGCTTACAAAGCATTCACACAGTACCTTAAATGCTCAGATAGCCCAGCAAAAACTTTGACAGTAGCACATTTTACAGAGTAGTACAGTCATACCCCAAAAGGTAAGTAAATTTCTGGTGACTGAATGAACAGTGTAGCTGGTGAAAACTTTAGCAGTTCTTCTAGGGCCAACATGAGTACTCACTGCACTCCCTACAACACAGCTACTCCCTCAAGACCCTAAGTGCCACGGACTTCTCCTGTCTAAAATCACAGCCTCAGCCTAAGGGATCAGAATCACATATGTGTTCACCAGACCTACCGGTCTGGCTTTGCATTTAAATCCTGGGTGAGGCTTAATGAATGCAAGCCACTGCAATAACACCACTGTGTGCGTGGCCTGCACTGGACCTGGTTTTAATTTTTCTTTTTCTTTTTGTTTTGAGGTAGAACTCCAGAGCTCAAGCCATCCTCTTGCTCTTCCTCCCAAGAAGCTGAAAGTGTCTGCTATAGCACTCAGCTCTGGGCCTGTTCTAGATTATTGGTATGTTCCAACTAGTTTGTCCTTTCCATCTTTGATGTCCTCATCTTTAAAACAGATGACAGCATGTGCTCTATTTGAAAATTAAGTGAGACAGTGAGCATGAATATACAATCTTGAATCATTTAGACTCATTGTCATGGCCTCAGCAATACTCCAAACCTGACTGTTCTTGATTCAGGCTGGTTTTACATTGCACTGAAAACAGCTGGATATTATTTTAAAATTACTGAAACTATCTTTAATAGCCTCCTTAGTAAATTCCAAGTCTGGAGGAGTCTGTCAATTAAAACTACTGTGAGGAAAACTGCTAAGTAAATCAAGTGGTAGCCCACCATTCTTAAATGACTTAAAATTTCTTGCAGAACTCCCAGCTTGAAAGCTAGTAATGGAGGGAAAAAGCATCTGGAGAAACTCTTCATGGAAATAATCAGAAGCCAATTGGCAACCACTTATACAAATGGCAAAAGCTCAGTTATTGGAAGTTTTTACCCTGCCTGAGTGTGAAGACACCCTATATACTTTTTGCCACAGGTAAACACAGGCCCAGAGAGCTAAGAGACTGAATGATGAAAGGTAAACTGAGGCCTTCCTGTAGAGGCTCAGACAAGTATGACTGAGACAGAAAAAATTTAAGAGGCCACTGAGTCAGAGCAGCTGCTGGGTTAAGGATTAGTGGGAAAGGTACTATTATATTCCTGAGCTACTCGTTTCTTAAAAAAAATTAGTTCAGATGGTCATTTGTTAAGATACATTTTATAATATTATTTAAATTTATTTTAGTCAAGAAACATACAATAGATGAAAAATGGAAAACTAAGTTATGTACTTAAGTACAGACCTACTACCTACCTGTAAAATGAAGTCTACATTTGGTGCATTAGTGACTTATAAGGTGGGGCCAGGATGGCTGTCAGGGTCAATCACCGTCACACACCTAATCCCTGGGTCTGCTTCCCATTTAATTCCTGAACTAGCTTTAAAGTGATAGGGGCTATGATGGGATTCTACAGTCAGATATTCTCGAAAACTATTTCTGAGGATGGTAAAGATTTATTGTTTTGTCTTCGGGATATAAAAATATCCACTGACTCCCTAACAAGTGTCTTATTTATAGTTAACCTCTAATCCTCTAGGGTATAATTAATCTCCAATTATAGATGAGGAAAAACTGAGGCACAGAAAGGTTAAGTCACACAATGGAAGTGGCAGAGCCAGGATCTGAACCCAGGCTACCTTCAAAATCTGTGGACTTTCAGCAACAGCACATTCCATTCAGTCCACAGGGTAAGAATTTTGCTGAAGCCAGGTGCCAGTGGCTGACACTTGTAATCCTAGCTACTTGGGAGGCTAAAATCAGGAGGATCATGGTTTGAGGCCAGCCCGGGCAAATAATTTGCAAGATCCTATCTCCAAAATAACTACAGCAAAATGGACTGGAGGTATGGCTCAAGCAGTAGAGCACCTGCTTTGCAAGTGTGAAGTCCTGAGTTCAAACCCCAGTCCCACCAAAAAAATTAAATAAAAAGAATTTTGCTGCATCATTATGATGCTTTTAGCTAAAATGGAAGCAAAGTAGAAATTATTGGAATGACTACTTTATCTGACTCCTGTGATTTAATGAGAATATTAATGAATTCTAATTAAAACAAACAGATCATTCACTCTTAACTTTTCTGCTTCAAAACTGTCAGCTGATGCTTCTATGGGTTAGTAAAGAAAGACAGGTCTGTTCAGCACATTACAGTGACCATTCTGACAATAAGAATGCTTTTGCATTTTCAAAAACTTACTGTTAGCAGTCCAGACCCTCTGAGTCCCAGGCAGATCTCAGCACTTACGTACTCTCATGTCCTCGCTCATTAATTTCTTCCTGGAGACGCAAAACACTTGTGAGGTTAATGATTCTTCTCCGGGGAGTACAAGCTGCTGTCATTTCCTTCTGGGAATCACCTTCCATAATTTCCACATCAGAGTCTTCCCGATTTCTCTTTCTGCAGTGAAGAAAAAGAATGAACAGATCATTACCCCTCCTTTTTATTTTTACTCAGCCAAATTTTGTATGCTGCATTTCAGAGAAGGAGCATCTTCTCCATACTGGTGGCCACTTCTAACCAGCTGCAAGGGATCTCTGTGCTGTGGCAGGTCATCAAGCTGTCTGTTCTCCTTATCTGACAGATAAGTCTGTCACTGCTTATCTGACAGACTTCAGATACCAGCAGTCAGCCCTGCAGCTGCAAATAATCAGGATTTAGAGTCTAGCTCAGCCTATTGAGCTACAGGGCCTTGAGCAAGTGAACTGACCTGTCAGGCTTCATGCATTCATTATTCCCCCATCTATTCATCAGACATTTATACAAACCAACTACATACAGTAATGAATACATCAGAGAAGGTGCCTGCCCTCAGGATGTTACTTTCTAGTGGGAGAGTCAAACGGCAACAGAAAAAAGTTTTTAATACTGATAAACACTAGGAAAAAAATAAAACACAGTCACATAATAAAATGATGAGATGAGAAGAGAGGGAACTAGTCTAAATGGACAAAGGCCAGAAAGTGACATTTGAGCTGAGTCCTAAGTGACAAGAAGCCAGAGCCTTCTAGGCTGAAGGAATGTAAGGGCAATCAAAAGGTAAGAATTAGCTCAGTTAGCTCAGATCAGCCACAAGAGCCATATGGCTAAAGCACCAAGAGCAAGAAGGGAACTGGAAGACTGTAGAGAAGGCTGAGTGAGGAATTTAGGTTTTTATCCCACGCACAGTGGGAAAGTCATGGAAAGGGTTTTAGCAGAAGCATGATACAAGCTGATTTCTGCTTAAAAAAATTGTTTTCCACTGCTATGTGGCAAATATTTCTTAATTCCCCAATTGGAAAACAAATGAACTACTTCCCTATTAGGGTAGCATTAAATGAGATATGCACATAAGGCATCTAGTATACCATAGATGCTCTACAAATAATTCCTTTATCATTCTCTGGAAAAAAATCCTTGGAAGTTGTCTTGTTAGAATGACTCAGAAATAAGCAAATTGGAGCTAAGTATCTCACCCTAGTTCAAATGGCCATTTCAGTGCCAGGTTCTTGGTAGCTGGCCACCAAATCAACACACAGGTTTGGGCAAGTGACTTTAGCTTGAGTTCTAGGTTTAGCACTTGTGCTTATTAAATAAGGAATGTTCATCTCACTGATTTCAGTGAGACACAGTCTGGAAGAACCTGAAGAGTATGTCTTTATTACAATCATTCCTGCCCCTTTTCTCTAGCTCTCTTTTACCACATGCATCATGGAGTTTTATGAACCAGATTCAGAAAGCTTTGGGAAGAATGGAAGACCTAGCTATTTTAGGCATCTTTCTCTAGTCACCTCTGGTATGGAGGCTTTATCAAAACGATTTATTAAAAACAATCTTTAAGACATTAATTAAAAAACATCTTTCTGACATGTTTTTAATTAATACTTGGAACCATGGACATTTAAGATCTTTCAGAGGAAACTGTGGTGGTGACTTTCAAGTCATGGTCAAAGGCAGACAGTGGATGAGGCCATAACACTGCTCCAGTGGAGGGCAGAGGGTAAGTCAGGCGAAAGAAGGTGCAAGAGGTTCATGAAAAGGCAAAGTTAGTAGGCACTTTTATTGAAGAACCCAGGGGGAAAACTGCTCTTTCCCAGCAGGCCATACCTGGGATTGCCTGGGCTGGAAGAAGGTACTCCCTTCTGTGCTGCTTCTGAATACCCCTCTACTACTTTCTCCTCCAAGCTCTGATTCCTGGCAGTCACCTCAGCAGAGGCTGGGAGCTCAAGCATCTCCTCATCTTGCTGTACGGCCTCATCACTAGGGCCATCTGCCTTATCCCCTGAGGCAGGGGCTTGGGGCTGACAAGGCAGGGCCTTGCTCATAGGCTGCAGAAAGGCATCGAGCTTCTGTTCCCGGGAATCGGTGCGGACCATCTGGTAAGCATAGATCTTGTCACCACTTCCAGAAGAAGAAGAGGTCACACCTGTGGTGCACTTAACCACCTCTCCAGAGGGGCCAGCAAGTCCTGGTAGCAAAGTCTGTTTCAAAAGAGAAGACAGTAAGAAGATTCAGAATGTGTTGTATAGAAATCCAGGTCCTAAAATGGAATAGTACTGGAGAAAGAAATTAGAATCAAGTATAAGTATCATTATAGAACTATAATTACAAAAGCAATTTAGACCAAAATAAGTATAAATTAAAGCTTATAAGATTCAATAATTAACCAAAAATTTTTAATCTTAAAGTTAGCTTAAAATAAAAATAGTATAAAGTTCACATATTTTTGTCTATTTTTTGCCATAATAAAAATCAAAATAAAATTTTTATTGAGGTAAAATATGTATAAAATAAATTTTACTGTTTTAACCACTTTTAAGTGAGAGATCCATGGCATTAAGTATATTTACATTATTATATAACCACTTCTACCAGCTAGAACTCTTTTGTTCTCCTAAACTAAAACTCTACACCTATTAAATAATAACTTCCCAGTCCCCTCTTCTCTCAGCCCATAGCAACCACCATTTTACTATCTGTTCCTAAATATACATGCTTCAAAGCTCTGCCCATTGGAAGACCTAAAAGCAATGCCCACCCAGAAGCAAGAACCCTAGAGCCCAGATTATAGTCACTGAATACAAACTCCTACTAAAATGAACTAGAGTTCCTGAGAGAAGTGGCCAAGCTAGGGCTTAGACTGGCAAAGTACAGAGAATGCCAACAATATCTTGCCTTGCCAAAACAGGGCAACTATAAAAGTCAGATGGAATTGTACCAAAAAGATGAAGGCATCAGCTGGGAGGGGCTTCCATTGGACTAAGATGGAATAATTTGAGCATCAAAAAGACAAATGGTGGGAAGTTGATTAAAATGGTCGCTTTGTTAATGGCTATGACAAAATACTATAAGAGAGAATGACAAAAAGTAGGGAAGGAGAAGGAGGGAGGTGGGGGGCATGAAAGAGAGAGAGAGAGAGAGGGAGAGAGAGAGAGCGCGCAAAACAAAACATGAAACACACTAAAATTTGCTAAGACACCAAGTCTTTCCTTTGAAAACTGGTAATTAGAGGGATAGAATTCAGCATTTAGCCTTACTTTTAAGTATGAAACATCATGATAACCAAATAGTTCTAATACATGAGAAAGTTCTTCTACAAGGAAGATTTATAATCAATTAATACAGAAAAATGATAAAATAAAATCAGAATCTTACAATCTAATGAAACAACTGACTGAGGATGTAGTCACCAATGAATGGTAAAACCATTAAGCAAAATGTTAAAGGGCAACTTTACAACCTTACCCCACTGATGTACCTACTATGTAGGTACATAGGCCACTATGTACCTACTGCTGGGATGTGCTAGGAAGCACAAGGTACCACCTATCCAGAGTCTGCCAAAGGGCTCTCTTCTACCCCCAGCATTAAGCTGCAAATTTTAAACTGTAGAAGGATGTGTCTGATAATCTGTCTGTCTGGGGCAAATATCACTCTCCTCCTTTTCCTAACCAGGAAACTTCACTGAGATCTGCTGTGGGGGCTGACATTTTATGTCTTCCTTAGAGAAGATGACTTAAACGGGGATACCTACATACATTCTCTTGATGTCTTGGAGTTCACCGCTCAAACACAGTAGCAGAGTGATAACGACCAAGGACTAGCAGGGGGTGGTTCTGATCTAACCACTCCTACTGCAACATTCTGCTCTAGGTAGAGATTTATCATTCATCTTCAAGTTTCACTGTGTGTTCTTTCTCACTACACCTGCTTCCCACAGGAAACCCTCAGCCCCATTCCATACACACACAGTAGTAATTTCATTGAGTGATTTCATGTGTCTCCTTACCACAAAAAAGAGGAAGATGGACAAACATGAAGGAAACCCACAAGGAGGCATCTTCAAATGAAGAGTTATTGTGAAGGATCTTAATATCAGACCCCAAACTCTTAAGTTGATACAAGAAAGAGTAGGAAATACTCTGGAGTTAGTAGGTATAGGTAAGAACTTTCTCAATGAAACCCCAGCAGCACAGCAACTAAGAGATAGCATAGATAAATGGGACCTCATAAAACTAAAAAGCTTCTGTTCATCAAAAGAAATGGTCTCTAAACTGAAGAGAACACCCACAGAGTGGGAGAAAATATTTGCCAACTATACATCAGACAAAGGACTGATAACCAGAATATACAGGGAACTTAAAAAACTAAATTCTCCCAAAACTAATGAACCAATAAAGAAATGGGCACGTGAACTAAACAGAACTTTCTCAAAAGAAGAAATTCAAATGGCCAGAAAACACATGAAAAAATGCTCACCATCTCTAGCAATAAAGGAAATGCAAATTAAAACCACACTAAGATTCCACCTCACCCCTGTTAGAATAGCCATCATCAGCAACACCACCAACAACAGGTGTTGGCGAGGATGCGGGGAAAAAGGAACCCTCTTACACTGTTGGTGGGAATGTAGACTAGTACAACCACTCTGGAAAAAAATTTGGAGGCTACTTAAAAAGCTGGACATCGATCTACCATTTGATCCAGCAATACCACTCTTGGGGATATACCCAAAAGACTGTTACTCCAGAGGCACCTGCACATCCATGTTTATTGCGGCACTATTCACAATAGCCAAGTTATGGAAACAGCCAAGATGCCCACACTGACGAATGGATTAAGAAAATGTGGTATCTATACACAATGGAATTTTATGCAGCCATGAAGAAGAACGAAATGTTATCATTCGCTGGTAAATGGATGGAATTGGAGAACATCATTCTGAGTGAGGTTAGCCTGGCTCAAAAGACCAAAAATCGTATGTTCTCCCTCATATGTGGACATTAGATCAAGGGCAAACACAACAAGGGGATTGGACTTTGAGCACATGATAAAAGCGAGAGCACACAAGGGAGGGGTGAGGATAGGTAAGACACCTAAAAAACTAGCTAGCATTTGTTGCCCTTAATGCAGAGAAACTAAAGCAGATACCTTAAAGCAACTGAGGCCAATAGGAAAAGGGGACCAGGAACTAGAGAAAAGGTTAGATTAAAAAGAATTAACCTAGAAGGTAACACCCACGCACAGGAAATCAATGTGAGTCAATGCCCTGTATAGCTATCCTTATCTCAACCAGCAAAACCCCTTGTTCCTTCCTATTATTGCTTATACTCTCTCTACAACAAAATTAGAGATAAGGGCAAAATAGTTTCTGCTGGGTATTGAGGGGGGGAGCGGGAGGGGGTGGAGTGGGTGGTAAGGGAGGGGGTGGGGGCAGGGGGGAGAAATAAACCAAGCCTTGTATGCACATATGAATAATAAAAGAAAAATGAAAAAAAAAAAAAAAAAAAAAGAGTTATTGTGGCAAAAGAATAGTAGGGGTTGGTGTGGCTGTCATTTGAAAAATTGTGACTCTAGGCTGTGATTCAGGATTGTTTTGAAAATGAGACTATAAGAATGAACTCCACAATGATATCGATGAACTTAATCCTACTCAACTATAATGGTCAAAAATGTGTCAAATGATAAATGTGACAAATGGTAAATTCTGTATGATGTGTCTTCTACCACAATTTGAAACAAAATCAAATACCATCATCTTGAAGAGAGTAGGGAAGTTTCCAGCTTTGTTGGAAAGGGTCACTGCAAGTATGGAAAACTGGGATTCAGAAATTTTGAAATATTTTTTTCTTTCAAGAAATCAAAACAGTGAACAAGCTAGGTGCAGTGCCTCAGTGCAGTGGCTCACACCTGTAATACTAGCTACTTAGGAGGCAGAGATCTGGTTCAAGGCCAGCCTGGGCAAAAGTTGAGACACCCCCATCTCAATCAATAAAAAAGCTGGGCACAGTGGCACATGCCTATCATCCCAACTATGTGGGAAGTATAAGTTGGAGGATTGTGGTCCAGGCTAGCCCGAGCATAAAAGGAGAAAGACTTTATTCAAAAAATAATGAAAGCAAAAAGGGCTGGGGGCATAGTTCAAATGGTAGTGTGCCTTGTCTATCTAGCAAGTACAGGGCCCTGAGTTCAAACTCCAGTACCATCCTAACCCCCACCCATGCAAAAAGAATGAACAAAAGTTGTAATAACAAAAACAAAAAGAGAATATAGGAATCAGAAGAAGTTAAACAGCATTAAGAAGCAACCAGCCAATCCAAAATTGCATTATTCTACAGAAAACCTATACGGTAAGGGAATATGAAAACAATAATTAAAAAAAAGGTGAGGTGACTTTTCTAGCTTCAAAAAGACTTAAAAGAGATATTAAAAAACACCACAACCAAATATTATGACTGGATCTTCACTGGATTATATTTGAACAAAGCTGTTATTTTTTATTATATTATTGTTGTACTTGGGGTATATTTTGACATTTACAAAAGTGCTTGCATTATAACTTAGTTAAATTCACTCCTTCCATCATTCTCCTTTACCCCACCTCCCTCCTTCTTAGAATAGTTTCATCAGGTCTCATTTTTCCATTTTCATACATAAGTACATAATATTTCCACCATATTCATCTTCTTTCACACTTTCCTTATATCCTCCCCTCTCTCACTGGTACCAAGCCCCAGACAAAACCTAAAGTTTTTACCTTCCTGTCCTTCATTTTCAAAAAAAAGATATTTTGCTTGTTTAAGTATTTGTTTTGTTTGTTAGGCTGTATAGGGAGTTTCCTTATGACATTTCCACATACATATGTATTATATCCTGAATTGGTTCATCCTCTCCATTTTTCTCTTTTCTACCTTAGTCCATTTCTTTTTTTTAAAAAAAAAAATCATTCTTTTTAAAAAATTTTATCATTTTAACATTTATGCACATGTGTATACATTGTTTGGGCCACCTTCCTTCTACTCCACCCCCCTTCTTATGGTGATTTCAACAGGTTTAAATGTTCTACATTCATTTTTATGTAGAAAATACATTAACCACATTCACCTTCTTTACTTCCTTCTTTTATCCTCCCCCTCCTATTAGTGCCCTTCCCTTAGCATGACCTGTTTTTAAAGCTGCTAGTAAAAAGATCTTTTTTGGACAACTGGGACATTTGAATACAGACTGGATACTAAATGATATTACTATTTTATTGGGTGTAAAATTATATTGTGATTATATAAGGGAAATACTGTTTAGATGCATACTGAAGTACTATGGAAGAAATAAATGTTTTGAATGTGCTTTAAAACGCTCCTTTCCGCATCTATAAGTGAAAAAGTGATAGATAAAACAAACAGGGAAAAATGTTGATGGTTACTGAAGCCAGGTAACAAGTTTATTTATGCTTGTTGTATTATTTATTTTTATGTATATGTAGAAATATTTATAAAAAGTAAAATAAAGTAGCAACTCTGTTAAAAAAAAAAAAAAGCAACATCTTTCTTAAGAGGACAATTCATACCCTTCCAATACTTCCTTTGTCTTTGCAATGTCACAAGTGGACTTTGGGAAATAGAAATTAACATGAATACTTTTGCAGACAGTAATTTTAAATTCTGCTCAATATGATGAGGTTGGAGCAAACCTGCAAGAAGCAACAGGAGTCCTGATTCCCAAATCAAATGGCTTCGCTGAAAATCAGGGTTTTGATATACTAGCTCTGAGCAGTAGAGTGCAAGGCACAGCAGAGCAGCAGAATAATAATGGCTTTGGTGCCAAAAAGTCAAGAGCCAATGGGAGCTCTGTTAGCACAGAGAATGGCTTCTGACCACCCAGCAGGAACGGACAGCTCTGAGTTTAGACCCATGCTCCATAGTGGTGAGGAGCTCACAAGGTTGGTATCACTGTACAAGAAGGTAGAGGCAGGCCCTCTGATCTAGAAATACACTTTACTTCTGAAAACATACTGGTCAGGACTCAGCTCCAAAATAAAATGTAAGCTAACTAAACATACTTAAGTGATCTAGGATGAAGGTCTTTTTCCCGTGGAGCCACAGACTCACTCCATAATCTCTGGCAAGTGTCTTCCCTGTCTTTCCCTGGAACAGGGTGATGAGCAATCACTCTGGGCTGGGCAACATGCTCTCTATCTTCATCTCACACTTTGGGCCTCTCCATCTACTTCTTACGAGCCAATCCATTTCTAGGTACTGCAACTCTAGGCCCTCACCTATTAGAGAGCTGTTTCCTGCATCTTGACACTCTCACCACTTCCCCAAATCACTGTAGGTTTCTGTTACTCTTTCCACCTCACTTCTGACACCATGGCCAGAGAGCTCTTTATAAAATGTAAATCAGAACTTATCAATTCCATCAAACTGAAATCTAAATTCTTTAATGCCCTGATGAAAACTGCACCATATAGACTAGACTTCAACAGGCCCACACTCAGACTCAGTGCCCACAGTATCAGCTAGAGTAGCTTCAGACAGTCCTAATGCCCAGGTCCTACCACCCAAGAACAACTTCCTTGTTTGGGGAAGAGCCAGGCACTGGCATTTTCTAAAAGTTCCACAGGTGATTCTCCATGGTTGAAAACCTGTAACCTACCGCACTGAACTTTCAGATCCCCATACACAGGCCTTTATCCTTGCTAGTTCCCTGCCCAAAAACACACTTTTCATCACTCCTGACCCCTTGACCCAGTTAATTCTTAGTCTTTGGGCCCCAGCCTCCATGTCCCTTCCTTCTCTTCCCTCACTGTCCAACTCCAGCACAGGAGCCCTTCTATACACCTCTAAGTCACTGTTTTTCTCTCTAATGCCATGCACTCTCTAGGAGACTGTGGGCAGTTCTGCAAAGGCAGGAACCCAATACTATCTTTCCCACAGAGGAGTCTCAATGCACATTTGGGTTAAAGGCAGAGTAACAGGAATAAGAAAGGGGCACTGAAGCCAAGTAAGCAACAACAGCAACCAGTAGAAAACAAACTTAACAGTGAGTGCTTCCTACCTGATGCTGCTCCAAGCGTTTTGCTCTCACTAGACACACTGGCCCTCACTGGGGGATGGGTGTCCTGTCTCATCCACAGGCATGGTAGAATTTGAATACTTTTTCCCAGGCTAGCCTGGATCATCATCCTATTTATGCCTCTCTCATAGCTGGAATGACAGACTTGAGTCACTATGCCTAGCTATTGGTTGAGATGAGAATCTTGCAAACTTTTTGCCTAGCATGGCCTGAAACCTGGATCCTTCCACTCTCTACCTCCCAAGTAGTTGGGATTATAGGTGTAAACTATATGCCTAGCCTGTTGTGCCTTTTTTAAATGATGAGTATACCCTCAATACAAGTAAAGAGCTTCCCAGTATCATATCATCTTAGAACTGGGAAGAGATGCTAGAAAGCATATTATCCAATTTGTTTATTTTATAGATAGGAAAACTGAGGCCCCAGAGAAGGGAATTAACTTAGAATCCTGAGCACTTAGAACCTGGATAATTGTAAGATGAATGGTGTTAGGCCCTGGACCAGGCTCTTGATGTTCACTGTTCACCTACTGCTTATAACTGCCCTGAAGTGTGGGGGTGACCAGTTCCATCTTTTCTGAGGGGAGACAAAGTGGACAGGGAAGGCTAGTGACAGTTGGAAACTTAGGTCTGTCTGACACTGAAGTCCAACTCTTCCCATAGTCTCCCAGGGCCCAGCCCCTCCACTGCCCACTTCTCCCTCCACCCCCTCAGTCCAAGGGTGGAGGGGGAAGTGCAGTAGGGAGGAACTTTATCTCAGCTCTAGGGGAAATGGGGGCTGAGCCACCTCCTGAACCTCTAGTAGAAGTAAATGCACAATGAAGTTGGTCTAAGGTCCTAGATGGAAGCAAAGTGAAGAAGTGAACTCAGGCCTTTATGACTCCAGGCCCAAGGGCAACAGTACAACACTTCACAGTTAGGCTCAACAAAGATAAATGCTGATGAAAGAAGAATATCAAAGTAATAGCCCAAAAGATAGCTGAAGGTGACTTGCCCTCACCTGGGTGAAGTACATCCTAGAGGAATTGGAGCCCAGAAGTTTGCCCTCAATGTGCTGCTGTACCCGCTCCAGGATGCTCTCTTCATGCAAGAAGTGAACTTCATGCTTTGTGGGGTGTACATTGACATCCACATTCTGGGGGCTGATTTCTAAGCTGGCAGGAAAAAAAGAGGACTATTACCTCAGACCGAGGGGAATGGGGAAAAAAAACCATACATGGTTTATTCGTGATGACCAGACAACTTGGGGATGCCATACAATAGTGGTTAAAAACCTCAAGATCAAGTCTGAGTAGTTGTTCAAATGCTTTCTCTACTACTCAAGAGTTGTGTGGCTTCAGGTAAGTTATATCATCTTTCTTTGCCTACTTCATTTGGAAAGTGAACATAATAGCATTATCTGTCTCACGGATTTATGGTAGGAATCCATATAAACTACTTTGCATGTACATGGCACATATATTATGTATTAACATAATACATCATTCTAGAACTAGCAGAATTTATTATGTTACATAATAAGGCAAGTCACAAATTTTCTGATTATATGAGGATAAAAACTTTCCTTCACTAAAATGTAACACAAGAGTCAATTCAGAGTCTGCACTAGCTATCAGTTTATTGCCCCTGCTTGAAAGCCATTGCTTGCTCTGTGATAATGGAACTTTGCAATATGAACCTCTGTCACTAGAGGGTGCTGGAGGAACAATGAAGGAGGAAAGGTTTCTATGCCATGTTTGCCAGCACATGGAGCCAGCAGCATGTAGGATGGTGCAGGGAAGCCCCTCTTCCACATTTCCTCATGCAGTTAGATATGGCCGCATGTTCTTCAACAGGGTTGCATCTCATTCCAAGGGTGGAGGGGGAGGTGGAGTAGAGAGGAACCCTATCTCAGCTCTAGGGGAAATGGGTGCTCACTACACCTGCTATTTACCTCTTATATCCAACCACCATCACTTGAATTCTGTTTGCTATTCTTTCGTTAAACTTCCCTTGTTCTAACTGCTGCATATCTTCTACCTCCTGTTTAGACACTGACTAGTAAGTACAAAGATGAAACAAGGTGATAACTTGACGTTTATTATCCCACAAGGGAATACATAGGGAGTCAACAATTCTACATTTAATCTAAAAACTATTTTGACCATGATTTTCACTCACCCATTTCAATCAAAACTAGAAAAAAAAAAAATTTAACTTTCTAACACAGTTTCTGCTCAGAGGGCTATGGTTTAAGACATTTTAGTATGAACTATGGCCTGCACAAGTAAATACAGCCCTGTTACTAAGAGAATGGTCTTTTATCATGGTGTGATAACAAAAGCCAAAACAAGCTAGTAGCAGAGCAAGAAAAATGGAAAGAGATCCTCTATAAATCAGCTCTTAAGACTGTAAATTTCTTTAGGGCAAGACACCTCACATTTTTTCTGTATTTTAAATACACATGTATAATCAAAGTACCAAATTATTTATGATTGCTAAATTATTTAAGTGAACCACTGGGCAATGTACAGGAGACAGATAAGACTCTCCATAGGGCATACAACTTTCTTTCATGGAAGGAACGCTACAGCTGTTTCAGCTTCGCACACTGACCCCAGCAGAAGGAATATTCAGAATCTCCTGAGCACATCTCTCTACTCCGTCCACAGGCTGTTTACCCTTCTGAAGGGGAGAGATGTTATTCACTTTCCTATCATCAATACAGTGGAAGCTCTTTGTGAGGTTCTGCTAAGTTGGTAAATAAAGAATTGTACCTTTTACCTGTGAGATGGGACAATATCCCTTTGCCAATAGTGCATGGGATTCACTCTGATTGTGTTATTAGCAAGCGCATCTCTTTCACAGAGAAGAGCCTGATTTTTACCAGGAGTAGAAGGGAGATTCAAGTTAAGTAAATGACAACATACTTTTATTAGCACTTAGAATTTTTTTCACATTTAACTCATAGACATACATTTTTTATTTATATTACCACTAAATATACATACAAAAGGAAAAAAAAAGCCAAATAAGTCATTCTTTAAATTTCACATTCAGTCCAACTTCCCTGAATTACTTCTATTCTGATAGCCACAGACAAAAATCAAAGAATTTTGATATTTTAGAAAAAGGAAGAGGGGATGAGAATGACTTAGAGGAATAAATCAATCATTATAAAATGACAAATTCAAAGATGTCAACTTTGAGAACAAACACATTAGTAGAGAAGATGGACAATTAAAGTAATTAAGTGCTTAAACAAAGATGCAATAGGACCTTGAAAAACGCATGAACCTAGAGAAAAGAAAGTGTGGTGTCTTGTGAATCCTACATGAAGAGTTTGCTGCTTCATTACCTGAGATACAGGAATGGGTGTGTGTTTTTGGGCAAATATGCTGCATACACTGTTTCTATGGCTTTTCTCAAAGAAGTTGATTCTACCAGACGATCTGGAAAAAAAAAAAGGAACGTGTCCTTAGGGGTGAAGTCAAAGGTGCATATTCATACCAAGTCATTACATCATTTTAGGAAGAATACCTCCAGAGTGACAGCTTCACCAGATCCTCAGGAATAAAGGCTCCTGTCACCTATCACCCATCCTAGCATCTCACTAAAGGCTTGGGACTCTCTTCTCATCCAAGTAGAAGAGATGAGAGGGACCTGGAGAGATCCCTTCCACTCAAGCAGCCCACAGGGATTAACTTTGCCCTAAGTGGGCTCAGGAGAAAGTGCAAACTCAGCTTTTAGACTTTTTATCCTGCAGACACACACTGGTTGCCTATCACACATGGCAAGTATTGGAAGACATTATGCTAGTGAATGAGCTAATTCCAGCCCCAAAGTGGCTGGCATTATAACAGAGATGTGTGTGCTAAATGGTGAGATGAAGAGTAGTTAAACTTTGCTCCAGGAGTTCTAACAGTAGGGTACCATACTGAATAATGAAGGGTAAGAGCAACATTTTCAGAATTTAAGGTGGTACAAATATCTGATTTCATATTTAAGATAACTTAAGAAATGAAGATGATTTGGAGTGGGTAGATAACAATGAAGACTAAAGACAGAAGAAAATATAAATTGAGAAAACACAGCTCTCCCTTCTCCCCAAACAGAGTTTTAGATGATTGGCTAATGATCTGTTGTCTGTATACCTGTCGCCAAGGATACGTTACATTTCTGCATTTCCAACAAGAGGAGTGGCTGTGATTTCATCAATGAGAAGACTGCTGGGTTTTTTTTCTTTCGTGTCCTTACCACATCCACAGCCCCTTCAACAATATCATTGAACTCTGTAACTCATGTCCAGTCCACACAAGCCTAGAGCAGGCATACGTACCTGACAAGAAGACAGCTGGATCTCCTCTGCTGAGAATTTTGAACTTGAGATAGGCCAAGGAAGTGTTCTTTGTCCCTCCAACCTAGGTGAACCTACATACTGGCATGCATAAGAATCTGACTATTCTTTGCTACTGGGAACCTGGCATTGTGATCAGAGTAGCCAATGTTAATGCAGAGACTGCACGGTAAGCAGTTCTATCAGAAACACAGACACATGCCAGTCAGACAGCACTTAACCTGAATTTTGCTTGTCTGCGCTGTGGTCAAAATTGTGTGCATGTATTCTCCATGATGAGGAGAAAAATATTTTCTGAGCCTTACAAGTAATAAGCTTTATTATATGTCAGGTTTAAGTCCTTCCTAATGCAATAGGAAAAAACCCTGCTAATATAAATGAGATTAGCAGAATCACCTATACAATGATTGGCTCTCTCCTTACTGTTCCTGTTTTACGTTGAACAGGTGCTATAACATATGCATAATTTGAGATATCCCACAGTCACTTATTGCTATAAATGCAAGTGGAGAACATACCATTTCCAATAGAAAACAAACAAGACAAAAACTATAAAACTATTATAAAATGCTTTAAAACATGAATGTAAATGCAAAAATTATAAAAATAAAATAATGATAAAATAAAATAAACAAAACTACAAAGGTAAAGAATGTGTAAGATAAAATTATTAAAATGAGCACATGGAAAAATACACCTTGTTTCTGAAAGAAAAACTGAGTTTGGACTGCATTTAGAATTATGTGTCATTAAACTAAAGCAGATACCTTAAAAGCAACTGAGGCCAATAGGAAAAGGGGAACAGGTACTAGAGAAAAGGTTAGATCAAAAAGAATTAACCTAGAAGGTAACACCCACGCACAGGAAAATCAATGTGAGTCAATGCCCTGTATAGCTATCCTTATCTCAACCAGCAAAAACCCTTGTTCCTTCCTATCATTGCTTATCTCTCTCTACAACAAAATTAGAAATAAGGGCAAAACAGTTTCTGCTGGGTATTGAGGGGGGGGAGAGGGAGGGGGCGGAGTGGGTGGTAAGGGAGGGGGTGGGGGCAGGGGGGAGAAATAAACCAAGCCTTGTATGCACATATGAATAATAAAAGAAAAAGGAAAAAAAAAAAAGAATTATGTGTCATTGCTATGTCACTATCAAAACCTGGAAATAGCCAAACAAGTTATTACAAGCAGAATGGAAAACAGTATTTACTTAGTAAGAATCATAAACAACACATCATCAAGAAGACAAGGACTGGAAAGGAATTTGAGAAAAATCATTTAATTTGTTCCTTCATTTCCAGAGCTGTTCTTTGTATCATAAATTTCATTCTTTAAAAAGAAAAACCTCAAACAATATACACACATGTGAATAAATGAATAATTTAAAAAAAAAAAAAGAAAAACCTCAAAGATCTTAGTATTCAATTTCTTTAGCTACCTATGTCCAAGTATCCCTCTCCTCTGTGTCCTACTGTGCAAGGTCAAAGAGTAGCCCTTGATGTATGGATATTGTGAAGCTCTGCTTAGGCCTGATGTGAAGGCTCCAAATGGCAGCAGGAAAGGAAGGTATGCAAGGCTCACAGAGTCTGAGATACCCTCTCCTAAAATTCCTCTTAGTGGTAAGAACCAAACTGTGACAGTCACAACTCCCTGTATAGCTACCCTTATCTCAACTAGCAAAAACCCTTGGTCCTTCCTATTATTGCTTATACTCTCTCTTCAACAAAATCAGAGATAAGGGCAAAATAGCTTCTGCCTGGTAGCGAGGGGTTGGGGGAGGTAAGGGGGAGGTGGTAAAGGGAGGGGGCGGGGGAAAGGGGGAGAAATGACCCAAACGTTGTATGCATGTACGAATATAATAAAAAAAAGAAAAAAAATTTCCAAAGCCTTAAAAATAAAAAAAGATTTTAAATACTCAAAAAAACAAATAAACAGGATATACCCAAAAGACTGTTACTCCAGAGGCACCTGCACATCCATGTTTATTGCGGCACTATTCACAATAGCCAAGTTATGGAAACAGCCAAGATGCCCCAGCACTGACGAATGGATTAAGAAAATGTGGTATCTATACACAATGGAATTTTATGCAGCCATGAAGAAGAACGAAATGTTATCATTCGCTGGTAAATGGATGGAATTGGAGAACATCATTCTGAGTGAGGTTAGCCTGGCTCAAAAGACCAAAAATCGTATGTTCTCCCTCATATGTGGACATTAGATCAAGGGCAAACACAACAAGGGGACTGGACTATGAGCACATGATAAAAGCGAGAGCACACAAGGGAGGGGTGAGGATAGGTAAGACACCTAAAAAACTAGCTAGCATTTGTTGCCCTTAACGCAGAGAAACTAAAGCAGATACCTTAAAGCAACTGAGGCCAATCGGAAAAGGGGAAGGACTAGAGAAAAGGTTAGATCAAAAAGAATTAACCTAGAAGGTAACACCCACGCACAGGAAATCAATGTGAGTCAATGCCCTGTATAGCTATCCTTATCTCAACCAGCAAAACCCCTTGTTCCTTCCTATTATTGCTTATACTCTCTCTACAACAAAATTGGAGATAAGGGCAAAATAGTTTCTGCTGGGTATTGGGGGGGGGAGCGGGAGGGGGCGGAGCGGGTGGTAAGGGAGGGGGTGGGGGCAGGGGGGAGAAATGAACCAAGCCTTGTATGCACATATGAATAATAAAAGAAAAATGAAAAAAACAAACAAACAAACAAAAAAACCAAACTGTGATAGTCAGTCAGCAATAAGTATGTATCAAAGAGCTGAGCACATATTAAGGAAAAAAATTACAGAAGCTTTCTAATCAAATCATACTTTGGCATGAGGTTTCCCCATGTAATCAAATCTGTGGGTTATAGGGGCATGGTGACTCTTGCCTGTAATCCCAGCTACTTGGGATACAAAGAAGGGCAGGATTGCAGTTCAAGCCCAGTCCAGGCAAAAGGTTAGCAAGACCTATCTGAAAAATAACCAAAGCTAAAAGGATTGGGAGTGTTGCTTAAGTGGTAGAGCGCCTGCCTACCAAGTACAAGGCCTTGATTTCAAATCCTAGTAGAGCAGAACAAAAACAAAAACAAAAAACCAAACCAAAACAGAACCCCAACCCCCACCACCAACAAAAAACCCAAAGCCAAAAACCTATGTATTTAAAAAATTTCCAGTTTTCATAAAATTCTTTGTGTATATATTCCCCCAATTAGTTCATTTCCACTTACGGTTGATGAACAGTAAGAAAATACACTTCTTCACCGAGTAGTTTGCATTGGATATATAGCCATTCATTTTGAAAGCTAGGTTTTTATCCTCACACCCAACTTCTATCAGTTCTCTGGTGAGAAAAGAGAAAAACTTGAGGCTTTAAAAAATAAAGGGAAATTCAAACATTATAAAAGAATCAGAATTGGAGCACACAGGGCTCTTTCTTATAAACTAACTGACAAATGGACTGCAGACCTTAGGTTGAGATTCTCTGGGTCTACCTATCCACCCATTCATCTGTCCATCTGTCCATTTGTCCATCCATCCATCCATCCATCTATCCAACTATTCACTCGCCCTCCCATTCTTCCACTCACCCATCAACCCACCTATCCACCCACCCACCCTCCCACCCATCCATCTATCCATCCACCCAGTCAGTGTTTTCAAGCACTTTATGTATATGCCATGCACTACTCTAATTGCTTGGATATAATGATGAGTGTAAGCTCTTGAGGCTTCATCTTGCTGAAAGGTTTTTGTATCTTAGTACTAAATCTCAAAGATATGATTCCTTATTATACTGAATAGCACCACAATGGGATTCCAGTGTGGTGTTCCCCAGAGTGCATTCATTGGGGAAGGGAAGTTAACATGAAGACAGATGAGCCACACTTATTTCTGTCTGAAGGCCTTCAGAATGAACCTACTGGCAACTGGTTAATTCCTACTTCACTTTAATATTTCAGGGATTTCTTTCTTAAAAGAGCCTTCTCTGACTATCCCTCTCTTTGACCCCAGAGATTCTTCCATCACACCCTGCAATTATCCTTTGAAGCATCAAGCACAATCTGCTAACAAATGGTCTAATTTCCTCATGTCTTTCCAACTAGAGTCTTCTAACGGCAACAATAATCTCTGATTTGTTTGCCACCATATCCCTTCCACATAGCATAGTGCCAGCATTCAAGAGGGTTTGCTGAATGAATGATGCATGCTTTTCCTGCACTAATGTGTGCTCTGGATAGAGGGTGCATCCTGCAGTGTTTCCCACATACATGGAACCAGCAAACCCTTTCTTCTCTAAATGTCTTAAGAGGCTGGTGTTCTGAAAACCTGCTTTGAGAAATGCTGCTTCAAGGGATTTCAAATCTCCTATAGTCCCTAGGAATTTCATAACAACTAATTTCAAGTCTTAAAAAATTTAGTCAAAAATTTCAACATTAACTCATTAGAACAGAATTCTCCCTTTGCTCTGGGAACACAGTTAAAAAATTAATTAATTTACATGTAATTAGAAAAATGTGATTAAAAGCAAATTGGTTTTTCCCTTGTTAGGAACTTGGTTTGTCTCAAAGAATGAATAATTTGTCCTTGAAAGTAGAAATTTGGTACTGAGACAACTGCTGCTGCTTTTTTTCCTTTGAGACAGTTCTTGCTACATATGTAATCCAGGCTGGCCTTGAATTTACAATCCACCTGTCTGAGCCTCCTGACTGGTGGTGGGATTATAGGTAAGAACCACACCAGGCTGCTTTTTGGTTTTTTGGTGGGATTGGGGTTTGAACTCTAGTCTTCCCGCTTGCAAGGTGCTCTATTGCTTGAGACACACCTCCAGTCCATTTTGCTCTGGTTATTTTGGAGATGGGGTATCTGTCCAGGCTGGCCTCAAACCCTGATCCTCCTGATCTCAGCCTCTCAAGTAGCTAGGATTGTAGGTGTGAGCCAGCTGCTGTTTTTAAGACTTTTGAAAAAGTGAAGGCAGGGCTGACTTCACTTTGTGTGTATCCATAGCACTTTGTGCATGCTTGGCATATGGAAGTATTTTTCCCTTCAGAGTATGATGGAGGCACTTTGGGCTTTGTAAAGTTCGTAGATGTAGCTAGGAATCTGTGATGGAAATGGTGATTTGTGCCCACAAATGAGAGCACCAAGAAAAATCCATAATATACTGATAATATAATGATAATGAAGGCTTAGTAACACCTGAAAATCTAGTTTTTAAAGGTAGGAAGTACTTAATTTGTCTTTACATTCCCAATTTCTGACATGCAGTCTGAAATAAGGGAGGCAATTAATAAATGTTAAGTGATAAATGAAATCCTGAAGTGCTGACAGTGAAAATAAAGGGAAAAGAGGAAGAATCAGAAGATGACAGAATTCTTTTACATTATAAATATTTGGAAGACAAGAGTCCTAGAGAGAACATGCTGACTTATGCCTGTAGCATTTAGGACACAGCATGTACCCAGGAAGTTGATTACATGAAATAGTGACTCAATTAACAAATGTGAAGCATGAACAAAAAGCATACTGAACAAAAGCAAACTCAAGGCAGGTGCTATCTTGACAGATTCCAAAATGTGATAGGATGATCAGTCAAGGCAAGGAATGCAAATTTTTTTTATATGTAAGTTATCAACATACCTACTAACAGCATTTCCAAAGATAGAGCGAATATTGTCCACGGTTGTAGCACCGGGTAATGTTCTGACGTCAGCTACTGTCTCACCTTGCTAATAAATAAAAAGAACAGAAGACAAATGACTTACTATCTCACAATTGTGACAAACAGGCAAACTATTAAAAGTTCCCCTTTATTTCTGTTCATAATACGAAACCATCACCCGCAAATCGAGAACTTACTTTTTTAACTGAAAAACTAATTCCTGAATTGTGTATTGAATACCTGGAAAAGAAAAAATAAGAGATAAGCAAAGAGTGGCCAAATGCACAAGAGATTCAGATTCAAGTTCCCCTTTTAGTTAAATAAACTGGTGGATTTACAAAAAAAAAAAAAAAAAAAGTGGTTTAACCAAAGATATATGCAAACAAAAACATCTTTGCACATCCTATTTTATTCACAGGAAAATAATCCAACAGACTTCTTCATGAAGATATCAATACTAAATGACTTGTCAAAACATAGGGTACTCTGTGCTGTTACAGGTTGCTGACAAGACTCACCATAATCTTGTTTTCACCTGCAGTTTTTATTTTCACAGAAGACTGGTCTGCCTCCCATCCTGAGAACTCAGATTTAATAATCTCTACACAATTTTATTTTCTCTCAGAGCCCTCAAAAGATTCTCTTCCTTACCAATTTTTCCTGCCCCCTAAGACCAGCCAGGACAAAGGTCAGAGCCTTTTCCTGATTGGCCATTATTTATCACTCCTCTCTTCATAGGCTCCATGAACTGAAGCATTACAGCTAGCAAAATGCATTTATTAAATAACAATTTTTCACTTTACCACACTTAAAACCAAAACAACTATAGAACTCCTTTATTTTCAGGAGATAATGAATATTCTGACACTGATTTATTTAATTCCAAATGGGTAAAAAGAAACTTGATATATAAACTCACATTTTACTGTGGGCAAATATTCTTATAAGAACTAAAAAACAATTAACACAAATTCCTATTACTTTCAAAGACATGTGGGTTTAGAGGCCAGGCGGGAACCATTCGTAGCAATACATTAAGTCTACCCTGGATATAATGCTGTTTTTGCATTATATCCCCTCTCCTTCCTATAATAGCCTTTCCTTCCTATAATGGCCTCTAAGTTTCATTTGTGAAACTATCTTTACCCTATTCCACGTGATGCATATTTAGTAAAAGACTACCAACCAGGAAATCTTCTCCCCAGAGCCTCTAGCACATGATCATGTGACCCAAGGCAGGCCAATCACATGCACTCTAAGGAAATGGCTCCAGAACAGAGTCAGGAAAAGAATAGCAAAAGAACAGGGTCATGACCTCAAATCCCAAACTCACATTGGTTCCTGTCCTCCCCAAAGAACAACTGTTTACACCTCTTCCCCCTTGGTGAGTAACTCCTACATTTCCAATAAATTTTTTTTCAGCTTAAAGTAGTTAAGTTCAGTTTGTTTTGCTTGCCACCAAAGAACTGTCACCAACCTAGAGACCAACTGCTTCTTCCTGGGAGATCAAAAAAGCTCAGGACTGGTGACCACATTAACCACAGCAGTATGTAGGCTAGGCTTACTGTCTGTAGCTAGCTCACAACTGTTCTAATTTGAGAGCACTGAAACATATTCCTTTGGTGACAGAACTCAGAGACCTACTCCCAGATTTTAGACAGTACCTGCCAACAACTTCCAAAATTTTTCCATATTCTTCACTTGGATTTTTTAAAGCTCTTCTCCTTGTGGTTATGTTGTAGAAAAGGTCCTCCACCTGAATAGAAAGATTGATTCATTTTGTAAACCAATGGACACACAAGTAAAGAAAGACTCAGGCTGTTCACCTAAAGCTGGTCTTAAGATAGTGAATCCAATGCTATTTATACATCCAAGTACTGACTGAGAGAAGGACAAGGAACAGGGCAGCATCAACAGGGTAATTAAAGGATATTTTTCCTGCCTCCCATACTCATTCATTCATTTTTCAATAGTAATGGGGACCAGCGCTATGTCAGACTCCTTGCTTTGTGCTAAAAATATGAGGACAAATTTTAAAGCACAGTCTAGCTCAGGAGAATGCACAATTTAGTGAGGCACATGTATAAATTTATAAGTAATTACAATATTATGTGGCATTCAAAGATATTTTTTAAACGAAAGATAATCATAAAATTTCCAAGATAATTTGGAGTTCTTAGAAGTCACACTGTGGTCACCCTAGTAAGGCTCCATCTTGACAAGCACTGAGAAGCACAGATTTATTTGTCTTCTGCCTACCTAGCATGCCTGGGACTTAGAAAGGTTAGAGTGGCCTTCAAGCAGATGTGCTCCAACTAGGGTTAGGGGTAGAGGAGCAGAATGCGTAACATGACAGCACACAGCAGGGTGCTTTGTAGGATCACAGAATGGAAACAGACCGAGGCACTATAGAAATAAGCCAGCATGATGAATTTTCTCCCAGCTATTGACATAGGCAACATCCTTTGAGGAAGACAGTCAGGTATTCTTTGTTCCATCAGATAGATTAAAAAAATTAGGGATGTTAACGACTTGACTCTGGACATGTAAACTGATGAGTGAGAAGGCTGGGACCCAAAACATCTGATAGAGCCAAATTTAATGTTTTTCTAATGCCAACTATTTTGCCACTGATTTCTGCCATACCAATAATGAATCTCCCAGCCCCTTACAAAAAACAAGAAGATGGGCGGGATTCCATGCAATAAAACCCAATAATCATTTTTCTTGCTTAGAGGCTGATATCTTGGGGCTTCTATTAACTAGTAAAAATTCACTTTATCATTACCCAGAAACTCAGAGCCAATTTTATTTTTTATTTCAATACTTAGACAAAGCTCTTTTTAATAGTTTACATTTCTGTGCACCATTCTCACCGTGATCTGGGTTCCTTGGTTGCCTGCACATGGTTTAGGAGGAGTCTGCAGCTTTCCATCTGAGTAACTTGCTCTAATCAGAAAACATACAAGATTATTAATATCTAATGGCAACACAATATATACTTAGCCAAAGGATAAAAAAGAAAATTAGACCAGTAATAGACTGTAATGCAGTCATATTATGTATTGTCTTTATTGTTTAGCATTTCATTTTCCTGCTATTTCTATAATCATTTTGATTGGGAAAAAAAAAAGCCCAATTCTTTCAGCAAATTTTGCTTATAAACCAACTAAAAAAGAAGGAATTAAAAGTTGGTGAGTTTTGAATTACTAAACAATAATTTTTCCATTGCCTAAGATACCAGTAAAATTTTCTATAATTCTGCAATCATTTATTGAGGAGTTACCACATGCCAGGCCTGTGGAGACCCTGATAATAAACAAAGGTCTTAGAAAGCACTTGACATGATAAGTGGACAGACTTTTACCCAAAGTATAATGTCCTAACTAATCTGGAGAAGGAACCACTCAATGTGGGGTGGGAGTAAAGTCATCAGAAAAAGGGTAATTCACTTCATCTTTAGGGAAGAATAGTTTTAGGTGGAGACAGCAGGAAAGACCATCTAAGGGGAGAGAGAGAGAAAAAAAAAAATTGAAACTTTGGACTACATGGCAAATGGAAATGTGTGGAGAAAAAGGCTGGAAGGATACACTGGGTACCAAGATGATAGCTCTGAATCTCATCCTGCCATAGAGGGGAGTCACTAGAGACTCCAGGCAGGGGCACAACCTGATCCCAAAGATCAATGAACAAACTTGTGTTCAAGGTTATCTAGGAAGACATTAATTCAGAAATGATTTCTCTGGTTTGTGATACAATTCTAATCATCTCAGCTTACCCAGAATTCACAGTCAAGACCCCTAGATCAGTGCTACATACTCTAAAATGCTTCCCGTTCCATTACTTCACACATCCATATGTTGAAGAAGACTGAGAAAACATAACTGCCCTTTGCTTTCCATTTTAATTTACACAATCTTATATGTTTAAAATTGTTCTTTCCTTTTACTTTTGGCACCACTTACTACCTGTCTTCAACTAGTGAATTGCCAGTGCTTATAAAATAAAGATATGATGATATTGATTCCTTGAATCTCATTTTTGTTCTGTTCCAAGGCTACTCATTAGCCTCTGGATATTGTACCAGCATAACAAGCAGCAGCTAGTCACTGGAAAGCAAGTCAGCACAGATATATACAAACTGTAAAGAACTCGTAGCTTAGGAGCCAGTATCCTACCCAGAAATCCTATAATCAGCCCAAAGTAATACCCTTTTGAAAGCAAAGGGGCAGAAATACCATCAGCAGCTATCGTTTATTTAGAATGCCTACATGTAATAGACACCTTGCTGGGCACTTATAATGTTAAATCTTATCTTTTAAGAAGTCATGAAATAAGAGTATCACCTTATAATCAACTTATCAACTTATCCATAGGGAGGAAAGAAAACTTAACCAAAATCTCAGCCAAAAAAAAGATAACACTCATGTTTAAGAATTACTCTGGGATCAAGCAAAAAATCAGCAGCACTATACCTGTATGCACACTTTCCATCAGCTGTTTTGGTTGTAATAGTAACATGAGCCACATGGCTTATGCTGGCCAAAGCCTAGGAAATGGGATGAAAGAAAAACACTGTCACCTAGTCAAAGGGAAAGGTTACCCAAACTGGCTCTTTCAATCTATATTAATACATGGTAACAATGAGCACTTTGATGATGTTAAAAAAAAGGATATAAAATTGAATCTGTAGCATAATCATTAGTAAAAAGGATAAACATATGTTAAAAAGTTCAAAAGGAATCACACTAAAGCTTATTGCATTAACGGTAATTATATTCATGTGGCAAAACAACAGGCATTGTGTTAGCCAGCTTTCCATTACTATAACAAATACCTGAGACGATCAACTTATAAAAACAAAACCAGTATTTGGCACATGGCTGTAGAGGTTTCAGTCTATGGTCAGTTGGCCCCACTGTTTTTGGGCCTGTGGCAAAGCAATAAATACATCAAGGTGGGGAGTAAGGAGGGGAATAGAGGCACTCAACTCATGTCCACAGGAGGCTAAAAGAGAGAAAGGAAAAGGAAGGTGTCCCACTATCTCCTTAAAGGACACATCCCCACTTTCATTCTTCCTAAATAACTACTCTAATGGGTTTCTCTGGTCCCCTAGATCATCCAGAGAGGAAGAGAGCCCTGTCAAAACCTGACTTGAGCCCAGTGAGACCCAGTGAAACCCATGTATTCTGACATACAGAATGATTAGACAGTAAGTTTGTGTTGCTTTATACCACTAAGTTTGTGGTAATTTGGAGGGGCAGCCATAAGAAACTACTACTAACAGTTTTTTAAAACATGTATATTTTCACCTAAGAATGTTATTTCTATAAATTTATGTTAAGGAAGACTGGGGTATCATTCAAACAGTAGAGTGCTTGCATAGCAAGCACAAGGCCCTGAGGTCAATCCCTAGTACTGGATTAAAAAAAAAAATTATCCTAGGGAAATAACTAAACCAAAACAGTGTTTGTACAAGAGTATTTATCAGAGCTTTCAACAGGCAAAAATGGCAAACAGCTGAAATATTCAACAAGAAACCACTTAAACTACAGTATATACATACACATAACAGACTGCTTTGTGCTCATTAAAAACCATACAGGCCCATATTTACTGGATGAAAAGGTATCCATAAAGAATAGTTTAGTCTTAAAAATATTTTTTGACTATTTTCTATATTGGCATAATCTAATACATATTTAAGTATAAGAACAAAAAAACCCTATATTTTTATATCAAGAAAATTAACACTTTTCAAATAGCCAATCTATGTTCAAATATCTTTAGCTCACTTTTTTTTTTTTTTTATAGCCATTTGTCAAATTAGGATCAAGGTAAGGTCTATTAAGTAAAGTTGACTCACAAGCCTCTGCAATCTTTTTTAATTTGCAAGACATTTTCTACCTTCTTTACTCTTGTTTCTCTTGCAACTTATTTGTTGAAAATCTTTTGTCATACAGTTTTTTAATATCAGCATCATTTACCATGCTTTCCTGTCCCCTACATTTTCTGTATATTAGCACTTAGATCTAAGTACTGATTAGATTCACATTTGATTTTTTTACAAAACAACTTTATAGGTGTTCTATCAAGAGATGCAGAATATCTGAGATCTGTGTACATAAAACAGTTATGGTGTAAAAAGTAATTATGAACAATTCACAGTCTTGGAAAGCAAAATTTAATTAAATTTGTTCAAATTTACATATATTTAATGAGCAAAAAAGATAAAATTTCATTTACTTCTGTTGAGAAACATATGCTGACAAATGATAATGTCAACACAGGGGGCTATTTACACATTTCTTTAAACCTTAGCTTACCTCACCCCGAAAACCATAGGTAGAAATACTGGCTAAATCCTCAAACGACTTTAGTTTACTTGTAGTGAACCTCTCACAGACAATATCCAGGTCTTCTTTCTGTAAGATACAAAAAAAAGAAGAAAAAAATTAAATAATTATGTTACTCATTTTTCCAAATTTTTCTGAATTTCCATTTTATTGATTTAATCCAGGAAGAAATTCTTCTTAGAAGAAGAGTTTTTAAATTAGCAGTAACTTCTTCATTTGGCATCCAGAATACGACACTATACTAGTGTTCCTCCTTTCTTACTAGGTTGTTTCTTTTCCATTTGCTGTTTCCACCTCATGTCCCCACCTCCTGACATTGGAGTAGCCCAGTACTTCATCCTTAGACCTATTCTCTATCCATACTCACTGTCTTGATGATCTCATTCAGTCCTTTTTTTAAAATTAGGAAACATGGCTCAGGCAGTAAAGCACCTGCCTAGCAAGCACGAGACCCTGTGTTCAATCCCCCAGCACCACGAAAAAAAAAATTAGAAAATTTCATATTCACACTTGAAAGTGTAGAGTTCAGTGGCATTAAGTACAGTCACACTGTTGTGCAACCATCACCTCCATCCATTTCCAGAACTTCATCATCCCCAAATTGAATCTCTGTACCCATTAAACAATAACTCTCCATTCTTCCCTATCCCCCAGTCCCAGGAAACCACCATTCTACATTCTGTCCCTATGAGTTTGACTCTCTAGCAACCTCATATAATAGGAATCATAATAGTTCTATTTTAATGAGTGATTTATTTCACTTAAGAGTATCTTCAAATTTCATTCATGTTGAAGCATATATTAAGATTTCATTCCTATTTAAGGCTGAACATTATTCCATTGTGTGTCTCTGTGTGTGTGTATTTATCACCTTTTGTTTACCATTTCTCCACCGATGGACACAAGGGCTGCTTTTACCTTCTAGCTAATGTAAAGAATGCTGCTATAAATATAAGTATACAAATATCTATCCAAGTTCTTGTTTTTACTTCTTTTCCATCTATGCACAAAAGTGGAATTGTTGGAACCTAACAGTAATTCTACTTTTTTGAGGACTCACCATACCATTTTTCATAATGGTTACACTAATTTACATTTCTATCAGCAATGGACAAGGGGTTCAATTTTTCTACCTCACCTGTTTATTTTAATTTTTTTTATTGATAACGGACATTCTAATGAGTGTGAAATGCTATTTTATTGTGATTTGTATATGCATTTCTCTAATGCATCTTTTCAGTGAGTTTCATGGCTTTTCATAGTATTAAAATTCAGTCAAGTCTGAAATTTTTATCTGAAAACCTCTATACAACACTCCAGACTCACATGCACATCTTAAAAAAGGCATCTTAAATTTAAACACCCAAAAATGAACCTCTCGTCCTCCCGCCAAACCTGCTTCTTCCATAATCTTTCCCAGCTCAGTAACTGGCAACTCTGTTTTGCTTTTTACAAAGTAAAAACCTTGAAATCATTCTTTTTTTTTTTAAAAGGCAGCAGGATAATTTATTATTGAGCATGATTAAGGTGATTATGGAGGGGACAGCACAACTACAGGACAAGGACTTGCTTATTTGTCCAGGGGACCACAATTAGGGATATATTTGACCCCACAGCCATCAGGGATGAACTGCTTCTCAGCTACTATGTCTTCAAATTCATCTGCATTAACTTGGTAAAGCCCCACATCTTTGAGATATAGATCTTCTTATGGCCAGAGAACTTAAATTTGGCCCTGAATAGGGCCTGAATCATGTGTTCCTTATTCTGCAGCTTGGTGCAGATGGACATGATTACCTGGCCAATGTGAACTCTGTAGACACTGTGCTGTGGGGCTTACTAAAGCTACCCTGTATACTTATCTGGAATTTAGATTGGGGACAGCATGAGAACAGAGACATGAACACACTGAAAACTTGTCTTCAAAGTTCCTTAGGGCAACCTACACAAGCAGCAGGCTACATACACTACTGAGGAGGCTGCAGTTTGCAGTCACTGCACCCCAGGTCCCTATGTGCAAAGGAAGCTGGTTGGCTTAATTGGCTGCAGTTGAAATCATTCTTGATTTCTCCTCTCACACCCTACTTCAGCAAATTCTGAGCACTCTGCCTTCAGAATCTTACTGCTTTTTATACCTCTGATGCAACCAAGCTGGTTCAAGGCACTGTCACCTCTTCCTGGATTCCTGCAAGAGCCTTCTCATTGCTTCTACCCTACCCTTTGGCAGTCTATTTTCCACATAGCAGAGAAAATTCTTTTTATAAAACTCACCAAATCATGTACCACTTTACTTAAAACCCACTAGTCATAGTCCCCCATAGTAGCCATAAAAAGCCAGATTTTTAGTAAAGCCAAAGACTTTACTATGGCTTATAAGGAACGACATGTTCTCTCTCTCAGCCCTCATCTACTCTTTTGCTCACTCTGCTTTAGACACACCAGTCCTTTAATATTTCATGCATGCTTCTACTTCATGGTCTTTTGTCTTTATTGTTCTTTCTGCCCAAGATACTCATCCTTTGAACAGTCTCATGACTTGCTCCTTGATTTCCATCAGTTCACTCCTTAGATAACACATCCATACTAAAGCGTTCCTGAACCATTCCACTGAAATTGCATTCTTCCCCATTCCCCCATGCCTATCTTCCTCCCTTTCATTTTTTCCATAGTACTTAATGCCACCTGACATTCTATTTATCATACTTGTTGTTTATTGTTTTTCTCCCACTGCTACAATGGAAGCACCAGACCAAAAAGGATTTTTGTCTATCTTATATTCACTGCTATATGCCTTCAACAGTGTCCAATATGTACTCAATACATAATTACTGTTAGTGTTGAATATTTTAATAAAAAATTCTCATCTGCAAAACCCTAAGTTACCAGAACAGAGAAAGGTTCTCTTTTTCCTGCAGATATATCACATGAACCACATAAACATCCTGCTTCTTTGAGATTTTACTTACCCTGATTCCAGTGCCATTGTCTTGGATCTGAATCAACTTCAGGCCTCCCTCTTTAACAATCACTTGAATACTTGTGGATTTTGCATCTAAACTGGCAAATCAAACAGAAAATATTTATTAGTCTGCAACAACTCTAATACACACATTTTAATATGGACTAAGGAATAATAACAAACTCCAAATAAATACAGGAGTGCATGATTATATGTTTTTCCTTTGTCTTACAGGCTCAGTGTCTACATTGTATGAGTTTGTATATTAAGTACTAGAGGAGTAGGACAACTGTCATTTCCAACATGACAGTCAGCACGATTTCTGTCCCTCTAGGAAAAATAAAGTTAAAAGTAGGATCCTTTTAGCACGTGCTTATATCGTACTCTTTTCTCAACCAATTTTACTGTTACTTCAACTTATTTGGCCTCTGGGTTCTAAGTGACTCTAATGAAATGTCATTTAAAAAATTTTAAACGTTTTTCTTTAAGACAATATACTTATGATGGAGGAAAGAAAAAAATGGTAATGCAGAAAGTTTTTTAAGAAACCAATAAGTCTTTTGTGCTTTAATAAGAGTAGCACATAAACACAGAGTATCTACTAGACAAAACAAATTCCGCTTGGAGCTGCATGAGAAAGAGAAGTTATCGACAGCCCTCACAGAAAATTATTTATTCAAAAACAAGACAGTAAGTTACTTAAGTATTAAAGAACTTTCTGGGGAACGCCTGTATTGAAATTGTACTAGCCATCTTGACTTACATATTAAAAAGAGCCTCACTGGACTCCATACAAAATTTCTGCTTGTAGAATTAATTGTAAGCCACTGAGTTAGAGTTTCAGGAACAGTACAATAATTGGTCCAAGTTAGTGTGTCAGTTCATTAAAACATTGTAGAAACAAAAGCTAGCCTATGGCTGTTACTGCTATTTTAAATCAAATGTTGAAAATATTTCCAGGCTTCCTGCTCCTTCTTCTGTCTACCTTCTAATTCTTTCCTTTCCATCTGTGCTCCTTTTTGACTCACTGTTCTTCCAGTCCCATTGCCCTGAATGGTTTGTTTTCACAATGTAACCTGCCACAATTCTTCACTTGAGGGTTGTTTTCTCTATCTCCCTGATGATGTATGGATTTCTTTTTCTTTTTTTTAGCGGTACTGGGGTTTGATCTCCGGGCCTCAGGCTTGCGAGGTAGGTGCTCTTACCACTTGAGCCATACCTTTAGCCCTAATGTATGGACTTTGCTAACATAGATTTTAATACAAAGAAAGTACCTGACAAAACTTTCAGGTACATTAATAGTATTTTTACAGCCCACTTTTCTTTTCACACGTTTTTAACCTTTTCCCTCCACGTTGTTGACAGTTTTAAGCTTCCGAATCAACGATGCCCCGTAGTCTATCTTCAAAGTGTCTCCCCCAGATATAAAGGGCCTGGGAACACTAAATGGAGACATTAACTTGGCAGAGGGAAATCAGAAGTTAATCCCCAATCCCATTAGCCTGCCTTAAAACTCCAACATTTATTTTGAACAAAATTCAAAAAAGATTTGTGCTCGTGAACGTGTATGGATTATTTTCTGGAATGAATGACAAGCAAGACATTAACATAGTTTTCTCTGAACGAAAATTGCTTTTCTTTCACCATAAACATTTATACATTTTTAATTTCACATCTGCATAAAATTTTAAGTTAAGAATCTTCTTTCGTTAACGGTACCATTAAAGCAATACTAAGTTTATCCCTCTATTTGCACCCTAACCCTTAGGAAAGTCTCGCGAAAACGCCTGGAGAACTCCGCCTGGGGAGAAGGTCAAACGCACGCGAATTCGGGTCCCCGCGGCCACCGCCGCAGTGCGCATGCGCTGTACCCGCCTCCAACAGGGGCAGGGAGGCGTATCCACGCTGTTCGGCGTGACTGCCAGTTAAGTCGTAGCCTTTAAGAGAACTCGGCCCAACTCCCTCCGTACCAGTTTTCAATCATCTCTTTAATGGCATTAGCCGGCCGCTGTATTACTTCCCCCGCCGCGATGCGGTTCACCACTGTTTCGTCCAGCCGCCGAATAACTCCCGCCACGAGCGCCATTTTGGCGCCAGAATAACGGAGGTCAAGTCTAGATGCTCACGGGCAGTGCAGTTAGCCAATCACTTCAGTTCCTTCTGCTTACGTTCTTCCTTCAATTCTGGCTTACGCCATCCTGCACCGCCTCCAACAGCCGTTATTGATTTGGCAGCTTAAATGCCAGTCAAACTGCTGGTTAAGAATATCCGGTTCTGGGTCTCTCACTTTGTCCCTCCCTAAATTGGCTGCAGAGGACTAAAATAGGAGGATATGCGCTTGCGCTTTCGAGATCCTCACAGCTCTTCCTATTGGCTTATTCCTAGGAGCTTCAGGGAGTACGAAATCTCCAGCCAATAGGAACGGAGGTGCCGTGGTGGAGGCTGGTGTCTGGGTGCTCGGGTGATCTGGCGCAGAGCAGAGGAGGTGCTTGGCGCTGGTCCGGCTCCTCCCCGCGTCTTGCGGCCCTTTTGAGGTTGGTGTGCTCTTGTGGCCTCCCGCAGAATGTGGATGACGCCCAAAAGGATTAAGATGGAAGTCGACGAGGCTCTTGTTTTCCGGCCGGAATGGACCCAGCGTTACTTGGTGGTGGAGCCTCCGGAGGGCGATGGGGCCTTGTGTCTGGTGTGTCGCCGCCTCGTCGCATCTACCCGCGAACGCGACGTCAGGCGCCACTATGAGGCTGAACACGAATTCTACGAGCGGTTTGTAGGGGAGGAGGAGCGCGCGGCTTTGGTGGAACGTCTGCGTCAGGGCGACTTGTCGATGGCGGCCGCGTTCACTCCCGAGGAGAGAGCTGCGCGTGCAGGCCTCGGGCTCTGCCGCCTATTGGCCTTGAAGGGTCGTGGCTGGGGTGAGGGAGACTTTGTGCACCAGTGCATGGAGGTGTTGCTTAGAGAGGTACTGCCCGATCACGTGGGTGTGCTGGAAGGCATTGATTTATCTCCAGAGATCACAAGGCAGAGGATTCTGAGCATTGACAGCAACCTGCGTAATCAGCTTTTTAACCGAGCCAGGGACTTTAAAGCCTATTCCCTTGCCTTGGACGACCAGGCTTTTGTGGCCTATGAGAACTACCTCCTAGTCTTTATCCGTGGTGTGGGCCACGACTTGGAGGTGCAAGAAGATCTTCTGACCATTATCAACCTGACTCATCACTTTAGTGTCGGTGCGCTCATGTCGGCGATTCTAGAGGCCCTGCAGACAGCAGGGCTCAGCTTGCAGCGAATGGTTGGCCTGACCACCACCCACACGTTGAGGATGATTGGTGAGAACTCAGGACTGGTGTCATACATGAGAGAAAAGGCTGTAAGCCCTAACTGTTGGAATGTGATCCACTATTCAGGATTTCTTCACTTGGAACTGTTGAGTTCTTATGACATAGACGTTAATCAGATCATAAATACCATATCCGAGTGGATAGTTATGATTAAGACCAGAGGCGTTAGACGACCTGAGTTTCAGCCGTTACTAACTGAGTCTGAATCAGAGCACGGTGAAAGGGTTAATGGACGATGTCTGAACAATTGGCTTAGAAGAGGGAAAACTTTAAAACTAATATTTTCACTGAGAAAAGAAATAGAAGCCTTCTTGGTTTCAGTAGGGGCAACAACAGTCCATTTCACAGACAAGCAGTGGCTTTGTGACTTTGGCTTCTTGGTGGATATTATGGATTATCTTCGAGAACTCAGTGAAGAATTGCAAATTACTAAAGTCTTTGCAGCGGCTGCCTTTGACCGTATTTGTGCTTTTGAGGGTAAGCTGAATTCATTTCAGACACATATTGAGGAAAACAATCTAACAGACTTTCCCGCCCTCAGCATAGTTGTTGATGAGCTTAAACAGCAGTTTAAGGAAGATCAAAAAATCTTTGATCCTGACAGGTATCAAATGGTGATCTCTCGTCTACAAAAAGATTTTGAGAGACATTTTAAGGATCTCAGGTTCATTAAAAAGGACTTGGAACTTTTTTCAAATCCATTCAGCTTTAAGCCTGAATATGCACCTATTTCAGTAAGAGTGGAGCTAACAAAACTTCAGGCGAACACTGATCTTTGGAATGAGTACCGAGTCAAAGACTTGGGGCAGTTCTATGCTGGACTGTCTGCTGAATCTTACCCAATTATCAAAGGGGTTGCCTATAAGGTGGCATCCTTGTTTGATAGTAACCAAATCTGCGAAAAGGCTTTTTCATATTTGACTCGAAACCAACACACTTTGAGCCAGCCACTGACAGATGAGCATCTCCAAGCCCTGTTTCGGGTTGCCACAACTGAAATGGATCCCCGTTGGGATGACCTTGTGAGAGAAAGAAGTGAATCTAATCCATAAGCCTTGTAATACGACATTGAAACAATTCAACTAAACAAGAATTCAATGTTAGAAGCAAAAATTTGATTTTTTTTTTCAAGATTACAAAGTACTGAGTTTATTACAAGATGTCCAAATTGATCACAATTCAAATCCTTCTGACAGTTGCCTTTTTTCCATCTCATCTGGCAGCATGGAACTGAAACATGAGAATACCAGCTTTTTAAAAACTTAGTTTAATGGCAAAGTCATTGTTATTTTTATGGTATAATTAATTTTCATCAAGTTTAATACTGATAATGTGAGTTGAATTAGAAATCTGGTTTTAAAGTGTTCTGAAGATATATGCCAAAATTTTAGATCTTAATTTAACAAAGTGTTAAAATTCTGATAAATACAGTCAAAATTATCAACTTCTTAAATGTATGTATGAACTAATTTTCAGAAATTCACATAGCAAGTTTCTAAGTTTCAGAAAAGGAACAATGTATGTAGAGTGGAGGTATTTTTGTCTAACAAAATGTTTGACACTTTTGTATTTCTGAGTCTAAAGTAAATATTGACAGATTTCCTCCCTCTCGCTACTCCTCACACCCAGTGATACTGATACTACTAAAGGAGGAGATAATCAAAATTTTAGGAAGAGGAACAATTTATAAGGTTGCTGATTTAAGAGGCTTCCTGCAATTTTGAGATAAGAATAGTCAATTGGGGGGGGGCTTCCCCTGAATTTTTCACAACTGGGGGCTGTTTTGTCAGCTTATCTATCAAAGGACTATGGTAAGTATAGAATTTTAACCTTTGTTATTTAGTAATTCTTTTTTCTACGCTAGACAGAAATTTGGCCCTATGGTAAAGGGTGAGGAAAAGATTTTTGCACTTGAAGAGTTGTGAGATATTTTAGCTTATTTGTTTTATCTGCATGGGTGGTATTACTTTATAAAGAACCTGCTTAAAGGAAACACTTTATTTTAAAATGATACAATATCAGATTTTGTTAGCTGCTGGAAATGGATTTATTCTAGAATTAAGAACTGTCCTACTCATTCAGTAGTTAGGAAAATGTAAGTAGAAATATTTAAATCTCAAGCAGCCTTATTCACAGATTGTAGTAATTCCATATTTCTAGTAAGACATCTGTTTTTTGCTATAACAGTAATTCTCAAACTTACGCTGCGAAAGGCACTCTTAACAGGAAAGCCCAATATATAAAACTGATTTAAAAGACAGGACCCAACTTGTAACTAACTCACAGACTCTCAAGTACAATTTGAAAACTGTTGTGCTACTAAATCCTGTCTTAAGTATTGCAGCACGATTCTGTTGTCACTAACCCAGCAAATTCAAGGAACCAGGATACAACCAAGAATTTAGAAGGAACTGGTGCCTAAGCAATCTAAATAGATGCTGTAAGAGCCTAAGAACCAAAGTTGGAACAGTGATTCTCAACCAAATGCAGTAACCCTTCCAGAGGATGCTGGGAAATGTACAGGGTCACCTTTTTGGTTGTCATATTTACTAGAGGGTTCTGCTGGCATGTAAGCTAAAGACCTCTCCCCGCTGCTGTGCACAGGACAGTCTGGCACTGCGAAGAATTACCCCTCCCAAAGTGCCAGTAGATGCCCAGTGTACAGTATCGTATTTCAAGGATAGGACAAATTACCGGTAGAAGCTGATGCTATACTTAATAGGGAAGACTAATTCCAGCATTCCATGTTTGGCTGGTAAGATGCAAAAAACATTGATATGTTCCAGTAGCTCCTAATAGCATTTAACTAATTAATTAAGTAATACTGAATCAGATTAAAGGGCTCTGTCCTATTAAACATTATTAGTTTAGGACAGAAAAGTGTTATGTATTGACAAGATATTGAGTTGACATTTTGGTTTGCAAACTGCTTAAATGTCTGAAAAAACAGCAGTGAAAAACTGAAAACTCTACCGGTAATTTTCCAATAGCTTTCTGTATTGTCTTTCACAGCAAATGCTTTATTACTTGAAAGATTGGAAGACCTGAAAGCTGCTTCTGCTTTTTAATCCCAGTTCCTCAAATATTGAAATTGTGTACATTTTGTGAAGTTTGAATATGTTTTGTTTAAGGTGATAATAAAATTAGTCTGCATCATATCACTGAGTAGGGGAGAGACATAAGCAAAGGATTTTAAAAATTGACCCTCAGTGATTGAGAATTTGCTATAACTAGTCTTGTTTGTTAAAAAAAAAGTGTATTTTACTGTTTTCTGTATTGAGTAATTCTGTAGCTGCATGGCAGTCTCTTTTTTATAAATACATAGTTGTTACTGGTCCTGTGGTATTGGTGAATATAGTTAAAATAAGTGCCATTTATTGAAAACTCTAATGCCCTTACCAGTTACTTACCCCATCTCCTTTTTTTTCTGGTTTTCTTGAAAGATTTGTTTTCCCATTAAGTCTTTGTCAATATTCTTACCCTTTTTGAAATAGTTGATTACTTTAGCTTTGAGGAGATTCTAGCTCTAAGTCTGCTTTCTCAGTCTTTGTAGGCACCTCTTCCCCTTAATATCTATTAAGTCTTTTCCCTTTTTTTTAGGCTGCCTAATTAATCTCCCTTGCTTATCTCCCTTACATTACCTCCCTAGCTGATCTCATCTCCTTCTATGGCTTTGGTTACCACCTGTGTGCAAATACTTCCAAATTCACGTTTCCTTTCCAGATTTTTGTCAGATTGTGTCTGATTGCTAATTTAAATCTACTTTGCTGTCTCGTAGGCAAAACACATCATTGATCTTACCCCCAAGCCTGCGCTTCCTCTCATTTTCCTTTTTCTTCAGTAGATGGCACAATCACTGCCAATTTTCCAGCTGTCCTTGCCCAAGCCAAAAATGGAGTCAATCTGGTCCTGTCACTCTACTGCTTTCACCATTGCTCTTAGAAGATTATGCAAATTCCTGTTCATCTTTCAGCTCTCAGTTTATATGTTACTTCATCTAGGAAGCTTTATGGCGGCCAAGTGCCCTGACTGCACTCCTTAAACACCTGTTCTTCCCCAGCTGCACACTTAGTAATTGTTCTACTTATTGATCGCTGCGAGACTGTAAGCTTTATAAGAGCAAGAGACCATGTAAGTCTTGCTCTATATCTCTAGTGCTTAGCACAATGCCTGGCATTTCAGTAAGTGTTTGGGCAAATATTTGTATAGTGTTTTATAATCTTTGAATCTCTTTCGTGGTCTCATTTGACCTTCACACTCGTCCTGCCTGTTCTCTGGGTAGTTGTTAGCCACATGTTGCAAATTAAGAAGTGAAACTTAAGTTCTTTGTGACTAGGGACCTCATTGTTGTATTTCCAGAATTTAGTGCAGTGTTTAGCATGTGGTTCAAATATGTGTATGTTGTTAAGGAAACAAACTGAGACTTCAATTTCCCCTAGTAAACATGATGAGTAGTAAAGTTAGCATTCAAACCCAGGTGTACTCACATAAATCCACTAGGTAATACTAAGTACTTCCGTGAAATAAAGTCTTATTATTATTTAATTTCCAAAGGGACCTACATATAGAGGGAAAAGATTGGATAACTTCTTAGATTGAACTAAAATAATACTTTCGTAATTAAAATTTTACCTTCAGTATTAGAGAAAGTGCCACATAAGACTTAACATCCATTTTTCCTTTTGTAGGCATCAACCCTAGGAGAAAATGGCTTGCTATTTACTTGCTACTTTCCTTTACAGATGACTTATGGCTCTTCTGGAATTTAAAAGTAAGTAAATTTAACAAACTTAGAAGAATGACTTGGCTTTTCTGATCAGTGGATATATACTTCACTTGCTTTTCTACCTGCAGAATGCCCTCATCACCTCCCCAAGGAAGATGACCCAAAAAATGACATCTAGTTAATATGTACTTTTAGATTCACTTGTTTCTTTGCTTGCTTGTTCCCATGCCTCTAAATTTAATCTCTGGGTCACTGGGGCTTTTCAGTCCTAAGGAGGAGAGCCAAACCTTTAGTCTCTTTGCAGAAGCTGTTATGCCCAATTTAAGGGATTAACTGGTGTCACAGTCTTAATTGAATTTATAGTCTAAGGCCCATTAACTCACTCAGATCTTGACAGTAGTTATGATAGTCATCCAATGATTAGATCCTTTGGGTTAAAGGATTTCTCATTTTTATCTTGTAATAGAAAAGTTGCCTCATTCTACACAGTAAGTACTTGACCTTATAAATTCTCTATTCTTATTTCTGCCTGAAAACTGACTCATTCCTTTCTGGATTCATCTCTTCTGTACATATTGTCAAATGCAGTGAACAGCAACCACAAAATAATTAGTTTTTCTTTCTTTTTTGTTTTGTTTTGTTTTGTTAGTAAAGGGTAGATTACCTGCCTTTCGGTTTATCCCAAGGGACAATTTCACCTCTCCATAATATGAGTTGCCCTGTGAAGTTATTTCTTTCATCCTCTAATAGCAATTTCCTGAATGCCTGTCAACTAGTCACTAAGCCAGTGAGTTCAGTATTTTAGTTTTTTGTAAACAGGGATCCAATTTCTGCGTCATGTTGCTATGGGGTAACAATTATAAAATTTTAGTGTCTCAAATAATTTGACTGTAGACTTTGCTGTAGATAAGAAGCTGGCAAACTACACCCCACAGGCAAAGTCCATCCTGCTTGATGTTTCTCTAAAGTTTTATTAGAGTACAGCTTGTCCGTTCATGAATTGTCTGGCTGATTTTGCTCTATCAAAGCAGAGTTATAGTTTTAACAGAGTGTATATCCCACAAAGCCTAGAATATTTACTTTTGGGCCTTTTACAAAGAAAAGTTCACTAATTCTTGCTCTAAAGTGTCCTCATTCTGGAGCTTGGGCTGACAAAGCAGATACCCCCATGGGTGTGCTGCTTACTTTGAGAAATGCAAAAAGAAAGTTTGCCAAATAACTTACAGGCCCTTAAAGTGCATGCCCATAAGTTGGACAAACAAAACCAGAAATATTTGGAAGACAAACCCTACTGGTTAACATGGCTATAGGACTCCATTTATATAATTATTTTTAAAAATGTATTTTTGCTTTTTTCATTGAGATAAAAGTTTACAAATACCAAGTGAACACCTGGACTTTTATATTCACCCATGAATGCACCACCCAGATCAAGGTAGACCATATTTCTGTTACCCAATAGGTGCCCTATGCCTCTCCCATAAACACAGACAATTGTGAGTCTGGCCGTCATCACCATTAATTAGTTTTGCCTGTTTTGAAACTATGTAAGTGGAATAATTATGTGCACTCTTTTGTATTTTTGTTCAGCATTATGTCTGCAAGAATAATCCATGTTGTAGTAGCTTCTGTGTCATATTCCATTGTAT